ACTTAGAAGGCAAAGACTGTAGATGGTTACATAAGAAAATGGAAAGGCATAACTACTTACTCAACAAGTATTCTTACCCTGACCTTGCTTAAACATGTCTTACAGTGCAATAAGTAGAATCAAACTATTGTGTGCATTTTACATTACAAACCTATGCATGTCTGTTCAGAAGCATCATCTGTGATTCATTGGGACTGACATGCAGGTAACATGTGCAGTAGATTGCAACTAACTAATTGAAAAATGAAGCTGTGTTTAAATTTAAACTATATATCAGTAAGAGGCCCTGATGCAAAACATGAAGCATGTTTTACTACCCCTGAAATTAAGGACACAGGAATAACCAGAGATGCCCTTATTTCAGCGGTAGTATTATTTCAGTGGGACTGAAGCGTGACTGACTTTCTCTGGATTTAGATTATGATCTATGAAGATAACCTTGGCAAGCTTTGTTGCTGAAACTTCAGCTTGTGGCAAGAAGCAGAAGCCAGACTGCATTAGGTAGTACAGTTAATCCTTAGTTAACAACCATTTGTTCAGTGACTGTTTGAAGTTACAGCAGTGCTGAACGAATGGTACTTATGCCTGGTCCCCAAAGTTATGGCTATTGCAGCATCCCCGTGATCATGTGACCAAAATTGGGGCACCTGGCAGCCCACCCACACTTACAGCCTCAGGGGCACTTCAGCTTGCCCCACCTGCCTATCTCGCCCCCTATCTCTGTCCTTTTGGCCACCCTGGATTCCACTGCCTCTGCCAGCCCTGCTGCCCCCAGTTGACCTTTGCTGTCTTCTTCCTCTTGCTGCTGATGAGGTGCACCTGGCCTGGCCCTTTGCGAGGCAACGGCTGGCTGTGCAAGGCTTTCCTGAGGCTGTCCGCATCCTTCTCACAAGGCTTCAGAAGGCCTCTGAAGCCTCACAGGCCTGCATACAACTTGCAGAAGGATGTGTACGACTTGGAGGAGGCCTCACGTGGCCACAGAGAGAAGGCCTTGCATGGCCAGCAGCTTCCTCACATAGGGCCAGGCTGGGCACGCCTTGTCAGCAGCAGAAGGAAGATGACAGCAAAGGTCAGCTGGGGGTGGCAGGGCTGGCAGAGTGCAGGGTGGCAGAGGCAGCTGGGGCTTTGTGCTGGGGTGGCTGGCTGAGGCGTGGGGTTGAGGTGGCACTTACTGGCGGCAGTGCCAGCAGTACCGGAGCTGAAGTAGAGGCCCGGGGGCGGTGGCGGCCAGCTGAAACTGCTCAAGGCCCTGGGCCTTTACTTTAGCCCCAGCACTGCAGGTGCCGTCACAGCCACCGAGGAGTGCTGCTGTGTAGGGTGGCCAAAAAGGCAGAAATGGGCAGGGAAGATAGAGTGGGGAGAGTTCAAGAGGAGGCAGGCTTACTGAGCCTCGGGGCTGGGAGGGACTAATCTGGTAATGGCTTGAATCGGGTGGGTCCTCGCCTAACAACCAGGTGCAATTCAGTTAACAGCAGCAACTGGGACTGCCAGGATTACCGTTCCTAAGTGATGTGGTCCTGTGACATTGTGGTGTATGATCGCATTGCTTAGCAACGGAAATTCCCATCCCAGTTACTGTCATTAACCGAGGACTACCTGTATCTAGCTTATGGATGTTTCACCAGCTTTGACTCAGAAAGAAATGTTATCACTGAACTTTCTTAATAAGTTGTAAAAAGTACTACTGAATTTAATTGGAACATCTGGGTATGCCACCCTCTTCTGAGAATTAATAAATGTTCTGCAACTGTGACTCATAAGACAAGCCTGGTTAAACTCCATGTAAATTCAGTTTGGTCCGTAATAGACATTTAGGATTATTTGTATTGGAATTCATAAGGCAGAAATATTATGGAATGTAATGATAGTTAGTAGCATCATTTCACCCTTTTCCCAGGAAATCAGAATTGCATCACTTTTTATACTCTACTGTTCAAGCTTTTTCTCAGGGATTTTATTCAGCAATATGAAGTATAGAGTCTGTGTCAGCTTTTAGAACATAAAACATTTTCTTCTAGCTTATAGATACATGGAAAACAGGCTTAAGACAAAAATCGTGTCATTTTTGTAAACGCTTCCTTCTGAAGCAAGATCCAGATTTTTATCTTTAGAAATACAGGTGAAACTCGAAAAATTAGAATATCGTGCAAATGTTCATTTATGTCAGTAAGGCAACTCAAAAGGTGAAACCAATATATGAGATAGACACATTACATGCAAAGCGAGATATGTCAAGCCTTACTTTGGTATAATTGTGATGATTATGGCGTACAGCTTATGAAAACCCCAAATTCACAATCTCAGAAAATTAGAATATTACATGACATCAATAACACAAGGATTGGAAATAGACCAATATTGGACCTCTGCAAAGTATAAGCATGCATATGTACTCAGTACTTGGTTTGGGCCCCTTTTGCAGCAATGACTGCCGCAATGCGGCGTGGCATGGATGCTATCAGCCTACATTACATGCAAAGCGAGATATGTCAAGCCTTACTTTGGTATAATTGTGATGATTATGGCGTACAGCTTATGAAAACCCCAAATTCACAATCTCAGAAAATTAGAATATTACATGACATCAATAACACAAGGATTGGAAATAGACCAATATTGGACCTCTGCAAAGTATAAGCATGCATATGTACTCAGTACTTGGTTTGGGCCCCTTTTGCAGCAATGACTGCCGCAATGCGGCGTGGCATGGATGCTATCAGCCTACATTACATGCAAAGCGAGATATGTCAAGCCTTACTTTGGTATAATTGTGATGATTATGGCGTACAGCTTATGAAAACCCCAAATTCACAATCTCAGAAAATTAGAATATTACATGACATCAATAACACAAGGATTGGAAATAGACCAATATTGGACCTCTGCAAAGTATAAGCATGCATATGTACTCAGTACTTGGTTTGGGCCCCTTTTGCAGCAATGACTGCCGCAATGCGGCGTGGCATGGATGCTATCAGCCTACATTACATGCAAAGCGAGATATGTCAAGCCTTACTTTGGTATAATTGTGATGATTATGGCGTACAGCTTATGAAAACCCCAAATTCACAATCTCAGAAAATTAGAATATTACATGACATCAATAACACAAGGATTGGAAATAGACCAATATTGGACCTCTGCAAAGTATAAGCATGCATATGTACTCAGTACTTGGTTTGGGCCCCTTTTGCAGCAATGACTGCCGCAATGCGGCGTGGCATGGATGCTATCAGCCTTCACAATTATACCAAAGTAAGGCTTGACATATCTCGCTTTGCATGTAATGCGTCTATCTCATATATTGGTTTCACCTTTTGAGTTGCCATACTGACATAAATGAACCTTGGCACGATATTCTAATTTTTCGAGTTTCACCTGTAGTGTTCTCCTCAAGGCGTATAGGAAATCTGAGTATGTTGCCAAGCCTTGCCTTGTTACAGCATGGTACATTGCAAAACTATTGTAGAAATATGTTCTTCCTCTTCTGTCCTGAACCAGCATAGATTTGCCACTGTTTCCAATAGCCATGTTTTTGTTCCTTTTCTATATCTGTCTTTAGATTTGTCTTTTACTCTATGTAAAATCCTCAATAAATTAAAAAATAAACATGTAAGTGAAAGGTCAGTGTTGCAAAAAAGTTATTTTAAGTGAGAAGAGGTGCAATCTTCTAATCAACAAGCATATTTTAGTAATTTCCCTTAGAAAGCAGTAGGGCCTTTAGGTTGATTCCTTTACCCAAGACATGTCTTAGAGAATCTGTATTATTGCATGGCTGAAGTGATAATCCATACATAGCCTTCCTAAATGATATATTCAGTCATTTGAAATCCAGAGATTTCCCCCTGAAGCCTGATTCCCAAGTTGAAAATGTTTGAATCTTAGTTTTTGCATTAAAGATTGTTCATTTGCCATAGCAGTGTACATAGAAATAATTAAATGGCCTTCAGCTTCATATATTATAAAAATCTAGTTTCAAATTACTAAGCAAAACTATTTTTCTTACATTATTTTAAGTATAATGCCTTGATGAATGATATGCTTCATAAATAATAATTATAAGCAGTATGGGTCTAGTGCTCATGCTTTTGATAATTCTAGCTGCTGTTGTTTGAGCTTAATTTAATATTTATGAGAGGCCTGCATAATTTACGGCACACCTAGTCAAATACTGCCCCACTGAGTTCAAGGATCTGTTTTGGTTGCCTGCCCAAGATAGCAAGAACAGGAGGAGTGTAGAATGTCTGATAAGCCACAGTAGGTTGGTGAGTTGTGTCCAGCTTCCAATGTCACAAGTTGTGCTGGCCTACTGTGAGTAACTCTGTTTTTCAGATAACTCACTAGGTGTCGGATAATACTGTAATAAAGGTTTTGTCTTACTAAATGTATTTTCTCAAACTTAAGAAGCTTTCTGTATTTAGCTTGTTGTCAGATATTATATACTATTCATCAATAATGAATGCTTAAATTAACAGCTATCCACAGGCAAATGCTTTAAAAATGGCTTGGTTAGGATCATATCTATGCTCTTTCTTTTGCATTCTTATTTTTATATTGGAAATGCAACAATATTTTTGAATCTTATTTGCTCGTGAATTAAACAGACTGTATACCTGAAGACCTCAGATCTGCTTTCCAGGTCTGGGCAGAAGAAACAAAAAACAGATTATAAAATGAAATGATTTAGTAATTTAGCATACCTGATGGCCTACAGAATGTACATAAAATTAATCAGTTGTATATGTAATTTATAAACACATAATCAAGCTTGGAAAAATATTTTATATCTATGCTCACCCCATGTTCACAGAAATATATAGAATCTATTAAGGAAATATCTCATCAGCATTACAGCATGTGATACGAGTCACAGTACAATTACTCTGTTGCTTTTGTTCCAATTTTTTATTTACCTTTCTGTAGTAGAATTATAAAGTGTCCTATACTTTGTAAAATGTATATTAGAGCAATCTACTATTGGCTGATTTTTACAAGATTTCTGTCAGTTTTTTATTTATTTAATTTATTTGACTTAGGCATCATCTGATTCCAATTGACATTGGACAGCTCAGTTTTAATAAAGATTGGCAACAGATTCCAACTCCTGAACTGTTTTCTCATATCTCATTTGTACCAAAACACTGGACTTGTTAGATAGAGGGTACCACAGTGGAATAGATGTAGAGGTAATTACTGTACTTAAGAACTGCCATCCAGCTGTTGTTTAGTCAGTATCATAGCATGCTTCTCAGTCGTTTGGAGGAAGCACATATATAAATTAAAATTCTGGTCTACTGGGATTTGCTTCCTTGTTTGTTCAAAGTGATTAAGTGTTAAAATTTGCAACCACTAACTGAATAATTTCTGTTGAAAAATGTACACACAAGTTAACTACAACTTTCTTTTTTCTTTAGGGGTCTTGGCATCCAGTGTTGTTCTGGTTCTGTCACAACGATCACTTTTCAAGTTTTATATGATCAGCTCTGCTTTTCTGCTAGCTGCAACATCAGTGTTGGTGAACTATTACGCTTTTTTGCACATAGACTTCCACAGTGCCTATTACACAACAGCTTTTGGAGTTCAGCTCCTTCCTCATAAAGGACCCTCCTTATGGATGGCACTCTCTGTCCTTCAGCTTGTCTTTGGAATTGGCTATGTTGCTCTCTTAAATATTGAGTCCATATATTCTCAACTAATCATCCTGGATTTATTGATTCCCGTTGTAGGCTTCATCATCGACTTACCTTTACACATCAGGCAGATTTTAGTCTTTACATCAGGTTTCATTTTGACATTGCACAGCCTGGCTATTTTATTTACTAAAATGAAATGGTTCTACTATTCCACAAGGTATGTCTATCTTCTTATAAGGCATATGTATCGCATTTATGGATTACAGTTGTTGCTGGAAGATACGTGGAAAAGGATTCGTTTCCCAGCTGTGTTGCGTATTTTTTGGTTATCAAGACTCACAGTTCAAGCTGTTGTGCTGCTTTATGTCATCAAGGTAACTGAAACAGATCCAAGCATGAAATTCTACATGATTTCTTGGGACAGTTTCTGGGAATTACTTTGCAGCCTTATTATCAGTGGATGTGATTCCACTTTAACTGTGTTAGGCATGAGTGCTGTAATTTCATCTGTGGCACATTATCTCGGGCTTGGCATTTTGGCCTTTATTGGCTCTACAGATGAAGATGACAGGAGGCTTGGTTTTGTGGCACCAGTTTTATTTTTCATTTTAGCCCTGCAGACTGGCTTAAGCGGGCTAAAGCCAGAGGAGAGACTAGTCCGCTTAAGTCGAAACATGTGCCTTTTGCTTACTGCAGTCCTACATTTTATCCACGGGATGACTGACCCTGTGCTCATGTCTCTGAGTGCCTCCCACGTGTCCTCACTTCGCAGACACTTCCCTGTGCTTTTTGTCTCAGCTTGCCTCTTTCTTCTTCCAATTTTGCTTAGCTATATCCTTTGGCATCACTATGCATTAAATACATGGCTGTTTGCTGTTACAGCGTTCTGTGTGGAACTCTGCCTCAAGGTCATTGTTTCTATCACTGTGTATGTATTGTTCATGATAGATGGCTACTATAATGTTTTATGGGAAAAGCTGGATGATTATGTCTACTATGTTAGATCAACAGGCAATATTATTGAATTTATATTTGGAGTAATAATGTTTGGAAATGGTGCTTACACCATGGTATTTGAATCAGGAAGCAAAATCCGGGCTTGTATGATGTGTCTACATGCCTATTTCAACATTTACCTGCAAGCAAAGAATGGCTGGAAAACTTTCATAAATCGCAGGACAGCTGTTAAGAAAATCAACTCCCTTCCTGAAGTCAAAGGAGAGCGACTACGTGACATAGATGATGTGTGTGCAATCTGCTACCATGAGTTTACTACATCTGCTCGTATTACTCCATGTAACCATTATTTCCATGCGCTTTGCCTTCGGAAATGGCTCTATATTCAGGACACTTGTCCAATGTGCCATCAAAAAGTTGATATTGATGAGAAGGAGAATGCAAATCTCTCAAATAATAATGCCTTCGTTGCACTCGATGAAAATGAACCTAATGAAAATCCTGCCCTGGGAGAAGCAGCTGCTGCTGAAAACGAACTAAATAATGACAGTACGGAGAGTGAAGAAGAGACGGAGAGCTCAGCTCAGTCTAGTGCCACAGTACCCGAACAACACTCTGAACTCTGACCCTGACCTTGTGCTAGTTTAAAATGGCATATCCTGAACACTGTGGGTGTTTGTGGAGTTCAGCATTGGAATAAAAGCTTCACTTCATCAACTAAGCACAAGAACACTATGTCAAAATGTTGAATCTGTGAATGAGTTGTCAGTTTACTGTGATGTGCTACTGTAAATATGGCTTGTATTAATGCTGGTCTCTTTTGCGACCACTTTAAACTTTATGTACATTATTGTACATGGAATAAAATGTTTTCACATATTTTTTTAAGAAGTTGAACAAAACACTCCTTAATTAATATAAAATTATGGTGTGTATGTTGTATCCAAAAAACCTCACATTTTGGTAGTTTAAAAGCCAATGGCTTTTAAGTTGCCTTAAAAATTGAATGTCATAAAGAGGGACATTTAAATCTTGGACAAAAGTTAAAATACTCTGTTTAAAACCATAACACAGCATCATTCCCAGGTTGACAGCTAAAAATAAAGGTTTAGGTTTCCCTAAGATATACCGTTCCTTCTAGTATTTGTTTATAGAGAAGAACACTGACTTGGGAATGAGGAAGACATATTTATGGAGCTCTATTATAATTTTTTTGAGTGGAAATTTGGTTACTGTGCAATTACACAATAAAATGATCTGAAGTACTGGGAAAGAAGAACATTTCTAAAATGCCAGAAAATCCACAACAAAACTTCTATTTGAGGATTTCCACACATGTATTTTTAACTATACCATCCTGTACAGCAAACATGCTTCTAAATAATGATTTCAGAATTAGGGAGTAGACTTATTTTATTTTATGAATAGAATTAACTGGATTTACATATCTGGAAAGAAAACTTTAATACTGTTGTTATATATAATATTGGCCAGTTCTAATGGCTCCTCTTCACGAACTGCTGCTAGTATTTCCAGTATCTGGCTGCAATGAAACAAAAAAGTTGTAGAAAAAATATAATTTATAGAAGTTGATGACAACTTTTGATAAAACTGCATAAAAGATATGTAAACCATACAGGTAGCCCTCACTTAATGACCATTTGTTCAGCGACCGAAAGGATGGGGACCTTCAGAAATCTGGTCTTCCCCAGGTCTTGTGAGAATGGGTTCACTACTTGGAGAATCGCAGGAGCCCTGTTCTCACGATGATTCAGAAGACCTCATTCTCCAAATAGCACGCCTATTCTTGTGAGACCTGGGGAAGACCAGAAAGTTTCCGAAGGATCACGAGAATAGGGGGTGTGATTTGGAGAAGGAATGGCACGAGCGGCTTGGAGAACAGCGTGAGCAGCCTCAGGAAGGCCTGGCACGGCCAGCAGCTGCCTCACATACAGTAGGATCAGGCCAGGTGCACCTTGACAGCAGCAGGAGGAAAATGGCACAGGTCAGCTGGGTGTGGCAGAGCCTGTGGAGTGCAGGATGGCGGGGGCAACTGGGGCTTTGCACAATGGTGCTGGAGAGGCTGGCTGCGGTGTGGGGCTTGAGGCGGCATTCCTCAGTGGCAGCTGTGATGCTAGGGCTGAAGTAGAGGCCTGGGGGCAGTGGCAGGTAGCTGAGACTACTGAAGGCCCCAGCCTCTACTTCAGCCCCAGTCCTGGCACTGCCACCGAGTGCCGCTGTGCAAGGCAGCTGAAAGGGCATAGATTGGGGGGGATAGGTGGGAGTTGTAGCGCCCCTGCAATCATAAGCACTGCTGGGCCAGGCTGGGCCAGGCTGGGCCAGCTAAGGCTTCCCAGGGCGCGGCAGCTTTGCACTGCACTGCTGGACCCGGTGGCTGCAGCTTTGCGTGACACTACAGCACCTCCCCTCAACACGCAGCCTGTGCTGGGCCTTCCCCCGCCCTCCTGCAGCACCCCTGCGCTCCTTACCTGGGACCCCCTCTGCTTAACAACCCACGATTCTTGGTTAACAACAGCTGCTGGGATTGCAGTCGCTAAGCGAAGCAGTCATTTGGCATCTCACTTTACAACTGCATTGTTTAACAATGGAAATTCCAGTCCCAACTGTTGTTAACTACCTGTGCCTGAGGACTACCTGTATTTGCGATTTTAAAAAAAGGTTAGCAGTTTTGGAATTTGCATTCAACAAAAGTACACAAATGATGACTGCATCCAGCTGTCGCACTAAATGATCTAACAAAACAGTAATGAATCTGGCCTAACTCATATGCTTCTCGGTCTTCTCTGCGTGACTGGGAAAGGCTGGAAGCTTTGGTTTTGACTAAGTTTCTCTTGTACAAGCCTGGCATGGTGGGTAATCTCATGTAGTTAATTTAAAAGCATGTTTTATCAAGCAGTTTGAAGCCAGTTAAGATTAGCCTGAATTTGTGGGGTTGATACAATAACGGATTTTTAATACTTCCCAGTGCCATCTCGGCCACTGTTGAAATGGAAAATAGATGGCGTCTTGATACACTCCCAACAAAACAAATCTTGTGATGTTATCTTGTACTGAAGAAATGGAAGGTCAGAAAATGCATCTTATAAAGTATTAAATTCTTTGGCTCCAGCCTAGATTGAGTTAGACGTGAGCACATCCCATTTAAAGCAATGTAATTTGAGCACGTCATGACTAACTCATTAGATCAGCTTCAAGGAGACATAATCATGACCAATCTCAGCTGACTGAAACTGACAGGAATGGCATACTTACATTATATGGCAAAGTTCATTTCTGTCTTTCAGGCAGTGTCCCACTTCCCATTTTTTTTTTGTCGGAAATGTGGTTTTTACAAATTTTGAGCCTGCATGGGTGTTTTTCACTCCACACCAGGGAGCATCTAGTCAGAGAATAATTTAAAAAACAAGGTGTTTTTTTAATTAAGAATTCTAGAAACCTGAACACTTCAGTCTTGTATTCCTGCTTGCTTCATTTCTTCCCTATGTATATCTTTCACACTGAACTTAGAAAATAAACTAAAAATTCTCATTTGATTTCTTAAAAGTTGTAATAGGCTGTAAATATACAAGTTGCTTTTACTAGTAGCTGCAAGCACAGACTGAGTATAAAACAGCAACATCAACAAAATTATTCCAAAGGTACTGCACACCTCCATACTTTAGTATAGTCAAAGCTTGATTTAATGGACCATTCTTTTGGGGGAAAAGATGTTAAATTCTCAAGTTGAAAAATGTGCCTGTTTTATCTAAAGTCCATTAAAGTTTTACTATATCTGATTTGGTAACTGATACTGAAGAGATAGGCTGAAATACTGGGTTAACAAGCTTCCACAGAAGCTTGTCTCAATCTTTATCACCTAGGCCTTTTGGAACAGTCTTTAATTAGAGGCAGAAATTAATATCAATATACTATAGAATAATAAGGCACTCTATTAAGCGTAATAAGGCTCCACCAACATATAAATTTTAAATCGTTATGCAAACAAAAACTAGCATTTTTCCTCTCACAGGAAAGAGTGAGTAGCACCTAAGGATAAGCATGTTCTAGTATGCTCTTTTTCAAAAACAGCATTCACAGATAAATGCCAATAAATGCACAATGATGTCATGGTACAAACTCTGTCCTTACATATTTGTGTCACAAAAACTGATGCAAGCACTTACACATAAATTGTACTTGCATCATGACACAGGTTTTTCCACTTGCCACCTCCCACATGATACTTTCCAGATAAGTTGGCAATACAATTTTCAACTTCAGCCTTGTTCAGGATTATGCAAGTTATGGGCCTAATATACCTGAAGGGTACCAGGCTGGATTTTGCTGATAGGAGAGAGAGGTATAATCCAATATTTGGCAAGAATCTGACATACGGGCAAAATCTCAGGCTTAGGAGCAGAACAATTTGGAGTTCCTTCTCTGGACCATGCTGTTCTGAAGCTGGTTCAACAGTTTTCTGGAAGTGTTGTCTGAAGCACATTTCTGATTCACAAGATTTACTTCCAGAAACCCACTGAATGGCATGGTCCAGAGCAGGAATGGAAAATTCCAGATTTCTCTGGAATGTTTTGTTCCTGAATCTCTGAATTTTGCACATGACTAAATATGACCAAAGGACTAATATGCCTTTCAAATTAAAAAATAGAGCATTTTCCCTTTCTATCAATGCAGTATCAATGAATTAGCTATCCAGATGATCATGCTAAGCTAAGTTTGCGTCTGGCCTTTGATTTGGATATACTATTAAGATTACAACCCAAATATATCTCAGACCTAAAGAGTTTTGAAAATGATATATTAGTGAAAGCAAAATAACTCACCTGTCTCTATCATTAACCTTTCACTGGGAATTGACTTCACTGTTTCTAGGTTGGCTTCAGTTTTCAGAGAACTGGAAATTTTTAAAAAAAAGTTTTGAAGATGAAAATGTCTATGACTTATTAATGTTGTGTACTTCATAAAAAGAAACTGCTCTCAAAATTCAATGAATAATTTTTATTTTTGGATCCGATATGTTGGGCATACTCACTCCAATATTGTGTTTCTAACCCTATTGACATTAGTGTGAATTTTCCAATGGAATCCTGGTGACAGCAGCAATACATGAAATTTTAAGCCCGTTTACTCAAAAGCTGATTTCTGCTGCATCTTCTCTGGATGATACTATGCAGAAGTTCTAAGGCTAAATGTCACATGTAGTTTTGTGTCATTTTCCCCTTGTCATTTTCTATATTTTGTAAGATGGAGGTGATATGGAGGCTGCTAGCTTTGCATTTAAAATTATTCCCAGCCCTTTGGTGGGCAGGGGGACCTCCAAAACTCTGACTGGATACATTAGTTGAGAATTGCAGATAAAGGATTTTTCTGAGCTAAGACCAGTACATCTGGTTGAGATTTAGAGTACTGTATATTATTGACTGTTACTTGTGTTTATTCTTAGCTATGAGTCTAACATATTGCAGTGCTGAAGAAAGTTAATATGGCCCATCAAACCTAAGACAGCCTGTTAGCATCTTCTTAAGTTCCTGCCTCAAGCTTCAAAAATAAGGTCTTTGTGTTAGTCATATCCCTGGCAAGATGCGCTACGTGGTTAATGATCTGCCGTTTTATTTTTTTAAAAAGTCACAAACCATATCTACCAAACTAAAAATTAATGTTTAAAGGAAGCGTTACTGTTAAAAATAACTTACCAGCCATTTATCCCTATATAAAGATCCAGATCTATTACAGCTGCTGCTTCTTCTTTAGTGCCATCGAAAGAGTGAACCTATAAAAATAATTGGAAGCACGTATCATAACACTGAAGGTAAACGTTTCTTAATACTCGGCCATCGTTTTTGTCAGTTCCCTCTAATTATTTTCGTTGCCATTTGGCAGCTGTGTACGCATGGAAAATGTGAGAAAATTTAGCAGCCCTCTTTTTCACAGTTGCGTCACGCTTTGTGCTACCCTCGCAGATGCAGGTACGCTAGTCTAGCCTAGTTCAACTTCTAAACAAGGCTAGCAAGGCCTAAGGTTGACCAGTCCATGGAAGGACACGGGCAAATTAAAAAAAAGAGATTCAGATCACAATTCATAACAAACCAAGAAAAACCTGGCTTAATGCTAGATGCAAATGGCTCTTTCTTTGGCTAGTGTTCTTGGAAGCAAGTTTTGGATGAAGAATGCAGACACAAAGAGAAATGTAGAACTTACTTGTAATCCATATATAGCAATAGGACTTTATATCACAAAAAAGGATAATGCTGAAAAAGGTTATAGCTGCATTGCACTTACCACTCCTCCTGCACATCTCTCTCTGTTTCGTCTCATTATATCTGTGCAAAAGAAGGATTTGATTTTAAAATCTTAAGTGCTTTTGTTCCCTCAAAAGTAAACATTCGTTCTTTTAATTTTCTAACAAAACTAACCTATGAATTCCGGGTGTGAATTCCTACAGTGCAAAAACATTGGCAATTTGGTTTGCTCAGACAGATCAAATTGTTTTTCAAAATACCTGAAAGAAAATTAAAAAAAAAATCAATCCATAGCATTTATATGGATGCTCAATTCTAACAATATGATTCTGGGTGGCAAACAAGAAGTCGGTAAACAAAGATTTCAGAAGTGAAATAATATTGACTACAAACCATTTTAAAGAATCAGTGGTTGGAAACTCACATTTATTACTCTCTTCCAGATGGAAGCTCTAATAATCCTGACCCAAACGACCAAGGAAAACAGCCAAATTACCTTGGAGCTGTAAACGAGTCCTAGCGAACCAATTGTGGTGCCATGGCTGACACAGGCATGCAAAATAGCATAAACCTATCGCTTTATCAGGTCAGTTTTGTGATCTGGCATCAAAACATTTACATATATTTGTACACTAAAAGACATTCTACATCTTGCTAACCAGAGGTCAGGACCGAAAAGGGATGGTGAGCATCCAGAGGCATCTCATCAACCAGCAAGGCATCCAGATCTTATGTTCCCTACATTAACCATGTTTAGTAGGAATATTCTTTTGTGTTGTGTTCTTTTGCTCCTAAAAAACTGGTGGTTTTTTTCCCATTTCATTTAACTTTTTTTGGCTGACTAATTCCTGAGCAAAGATACCCATCTCACTAGTAACGTCTTGGGTACTCAGTAGCAACAGCATCCAGGGACACACACACACGAGAAGAAAACTGGGCAGTGTGTACTATGATGGGGACACTTCCCCCTTTGGGCTGTCACATCCCACTCACAGCCGCAACCTGAGGCCTGGGTCCCTCATCCCAGCCATCCAGTGTTTACAATCATTTCTGTCATAATAGAATGAGCAGAAGCACAACATCCAGAAAGAAAATCTTGGCAGCCATTGCAAGCACCGACAAATGCCGTAAGGCAGAGGATCTCGACTATGACTTGCAGTCGGAGGATAAAGAGTGGAATTGTTGACTTGCTCTTTGCTTTTCCATCAGCTTAAAATAAGGGCAGATGTTTTGTGCACAGCTCCTGATGGACGTTCCTGAGAAAATCCCAAAAGAACAGTACAACATAGGAGTAAAAAGAAAGCATGACTAGTACAACGTATTTGAAACAAGGAATACATTTCTTACTTGAGTTGGGTGTCTTTGAGGCAGAATTCTAATCTGTCAAAGTCTGGAAAGGGGAAAACAGACAGTGAAGCGGCCTTCGAAAGACTGCCATGAAAAAGCAACGCCCTTAAGCCAGGGAGCTAATACCTACCCAGGCCACACTCTCCAACTGCGACAACTTTCCCTTTGTTTTTCTCAGCTAAATCTTGCAACTCGGCTAGGTACTGGTCAGGATCACCCTGATCAAATTCTCCACAGCGAGTGGGATGGCAGCCAACCGTGGTGTAAAACATTTCTGAAATCAGATCACGTGAAAGTGTGGGTATTACTGATACTGACTCTATTCAAACATAAAGGGAAAATAATCCCCTGCTCTGAGTGTGTATGTTCTGAAAGTTGCTTTAAAGTTTTTGCAGTGCATTGTACTAGAAAAAGAAGCTACTATTCCCCGTGTGCAAGGATTGGCAGAAATGAAAGCGCTGGGACGGCAGCCGATTCGTTCTTCTCCATTAAAGCCGCATCAAATCTCTTCCTCTCTAGCTAGATGCCTGAGCTGCCGTTTGCCAGCTACCACCGAAACACATCCTGGAGATCTCCCCCTCCCCCCAAAACATGCATGTAACACACATAGATACATGTACATGCATATGCAAATATATACACTTAAGACCCAGGAGCCTCTAAAAAGGAATACGTTTTATTAATTGCTTTAAAGATTACCGATTAAAATTAATTGCCTCTAAAATAAGGCACCCCATCTATTAAATTAACTAACCCGTCATCTACAAATACACACATAAATCTACTCACATCCAAACTATGTGCATGTCAAGACCCGCACCCAGAGACTGCAGGAATCTGGGCTCAGCAAGCATAAAGATAGGGTCACTCTGGAGTAAATCACGCCCAGTTCAAAGGTTTTAGGCAACTGCCATTCTCAAGATGGATCTGTTTAGCCAGCTTGTTCTAGTGATGGAAACTAGGGGTGTGATCTTTGGGGTACAGTTATTTCTTCTGCTGCTTGCAACAAGCAGATGAGTTGATAGGGGTCTTTGCACTGGGCTGCAAGCACAAGGAAGTCTATGCGTGCCTGGTAAATCTAGGAGCAATTGTGGGCAAGGATACATGTGATGATATCATTTCTCAAATGCTACGACATACATCACAAATAAAAAATCATGATGCATCAAAAATCATCATGCGAAGACGTAACTGTGGCATTTCCATGAAGACATCATCCTTGCATATAACTAGCATTATGATTTGTTATAAACACCACTAAGTCCACTTCCATTTCGTAGCTTAACCATGCTAGTCTCATCCTGCTTAGTCGGCTTCCGAACCCCAGCACCTTCTCCTTCCCCTGAAAATACAGAGGGGGATTGTCTGCAAGAGAGGTCTTCCCTATCCAGGCCAATTCTTCAGTGATGGAGGATGCTGATTTTCCAGAATCCCCATTCACACTGTGGTTAAGAGTCAACCCTGACCGGATGGCGCATAATCCACTCGCATTAAGAACTTCCACAGATGGAGGCATTTCTCCATAGCAGACGTTCTCCTTCTATATGAGAGGGCAGCAAGAGAAGGACAGGGCTAACTTACTACTTGCCACCCCCTTGGGAGGACGTCTCTCCTTCCATGCCAAGCACTTGCTTTCATTATGTGACCTCTGGCTCCCCCTGACCCATAGTTAAGAACAGAGCCTACTGTAGCAAAATTCGAGTTAAATACACAATGGTTCAAGTTCAATACATGATACTACTTATGCAGTATTATACAATAATACTGTTCTGGCTTACATATAAATTTGACTTAAGGACAGACCTTGGGAACAGAACTTGTTCTTGAACTGGGGACTCCCTGTATTCTTTTTGCAGTGATTGTAAGATAACCAACCTCCCCAATTCACAGGTGCAGGAAAAGTTTCACTTTCCTTTTAGGCCAATACAATGTAGGATAATTCAAGCATTCCACTTAAAGGAATATAATGCAAGAAAGAAATACCGTTGGTTTGGGCCAGCCGCAAGGCATCTTTACTATCTTGCAAACTCCCACCTGTGATGATGAGCTGAAATAAAGAAAAACGTGTATTGTAAGTGCTACTTTCTGAATGCCAAGTTTACTATGTTTTGAGGGACATAAATTGAGTCAACAGCAGGGAAAAACTGACATTTCGGACAATAAAAAGACCACATCTAAAAACATTTAATGCCAAAGTTACCTTTTGAACCCCAATTTTGATTGCTCTGTCTATTACATCCAAGAAGTCATCTGCAAATATATACACATACATATAAATCCACATTTTAAAACGCAGTTATGATCCAACTTATAACTGTTCACAGTCTCTATTTCCTGTTCCTTTGTTTTATTTTTGTTCAAAGCTTCATGACAGTAACCATTTCAATCATCTTATGCTATCTTAATTAAAGAATAATCATCACACCTCTACAATGCACCACAGTAATATTCCACTCTTTTCAACATTTTGTTTTGACAAAAAAATATTGCTATCTACAAATGCAACGTATCAGGAGCATTCATGTATTTTCCAACAGCATTTCTAAGGAACGGCCTTCCCCAGACGAATGGGATCAGAGCTAGCAGTGACTGATCAGGAAAGAGATCTTGGAATAATGGTAAACAGGTCAATAAAGGTGTCAACACGCTGTGCATTTGCTGTAAAAAAGACCAACAGCATGTTAGGGATTATAAGAAAAGGTAATGAAAATAGAGATCCCTGTACATAAATCACGGGTGCAACTGTGTCTGGAATACTGGGTGCAATTCTGGTCACTGCACCCCAAAAAGGATAGAGGGGAGCTAGAGAAGGTTCAGAGGAGGGCAGCTAGGATGATGGAGCAGCTTCCCTAGGAGAGAAGGTTGAAACATTTGGGCTTTTTAGTCTAGCAAGGAGGTGAATGAGAGCGTACAAAATTATGGATGGTGTGGATAAAGTGGACAAGGAGAAGCTCTCTTCTCCTTCCCACAATACTAGAACCAGAGGTCACCCAATGAAATGGATTCCTGGAAGAGTCAGGACAGACAAAAGAAAATACAGTACAACCTTGGTATGCGAGCATAATTCATTCCGGAAACATGCTTGTAATCCAAAGCACTTGTATATCAAAGCGATCACCCACAACCCACAGCGAGAGAGAGAACCCCCACTGGCTCAGCTGTGATCATGTGATGTTCGGCGTCATGTACTACTTGTATTGCAAGACATCGCTCGTTTATCAAGTTAAAATTTATTAGAAATGTTTGCTCGTCTTGCAGAGCACTCGGAGAACAAGTTACTCGCAATCCAAGGTTTTACTGTAATTTTTTACACAACAGGTAGTTCAACTTTGGAATTCTCCACCACGAGAGGCAATGCTAGTTACCAGCTTGGCTGGCTTCAAAAAAGGGTTGGACCAATTCATGGACGTCATGGGGATCAAGGGCTATTAGCCCTGATGGCAGTGGGACTGCCTCTGAGGCCATCTGCTGGAAGACTAGTGGGCTTCCTGGTGCAGTAGGTTGGCCACCGTGAGAACAGATTGCTGGACTTGATGGGCCAGGGGTCCAATCCAGCAGGGCCCTGCTGATGTTATGAGAACTCCCTAGAATTCCTGACCAGCCCAAACACGGCTTAAACCAACCATTCGGCCTCCAAATGTGTTGCAGCTCACAGAATTGGAAGCAGCCCCTGAGGCCATCAACTCCAACCCTTTGTTCAGTGTAAGACGTCAGAGGAAAGTATTCCTGACAGATAGCCAGGGAAGGACAGCCCACCATCTAGCCAGGTGGGTGCTTCCACTGTCCACTTGTTCTTAGAAAAATGTTCCTACCATTCAACTGAATCTGCCTTCCTGTAACTGAATTCCATTACACCATCTCTTGCCCTCTGGAATTACAGAGAACGAGCGTTGATGTTCTTCTACGTGGCATCCTTTAAGGTATTTCAAGAGTTGTCTTGAAACATCCCTGGCTCTTTCCAGTTTTCTTCATTGGACCAGTCCTCTGATCATTCTCCTTGCCCTTCTCTGAAGCCTTTCTAGTTTCCCTGAATCCTTAAAGTATGTGGTGCCCGTGACCGGATACAGTAAATAGAGGGTCTGACCAAAGAAGAGTAAGGTGGAATTTTTACTTCCAATGTTTTGGAAATTACGCTTCCGTTGATCCAGCCTAAAATTTCATTTGCCTTTTTTGCAGTTGTATCATACTGCTGGCTCCTGCAGGCTATTCTAAGATTTTTTTTCACAAGCATCATTACCAAACCAGGTATCCCCACCGTACATCTATGAATTTGATTTCTGCTTCCTAAGGGAAGAATTCAGCATTTCTCCCTACTAAATTTCATTTGAGTTTTATTTCTGTCTTCTAGGGCAGTGTTTCTCAACCTTAACAACTTAAAGACATGTGGACTTCAACTCCCAGAATTCCACACATCTTGAAGTTGCCAAGATTGAGAAACACTGTCCTAGGGTATTAGATAACCCATCTGATTTTGTTTGTTGGCACGTTTGATAAACGTCCCCTCCATCTCCTCATCAAAGTTATTAATAAAAATGTAGCGGATCCAGGACTGATTGTCAGGAAGCAACAGACAGAATATAGAGCATCACTGAAGCAATGAGCATGAAACTGAGCAAACTCAGGGAGGCAGTGAAGGACAGGAAGGCCTGGAGCGATGTGGTTCTTGGGGTCACGAAGAGTCGGACACGACTTAACGATTGAACAACAACAACAACAAAACTAAACACTGAGAAAGGAATGCCCCAAGGTTATGTACTGTTATTTAATTAACATGTGCAGAATATACCATCCATTTCTGGACAAGATGGTTATAGAGCATCACTGAAGCAATGAGCATGAAACTGAGCAAACTCAGGGAGGCAGTGAAGGACAGGAAGGCCTGGAGCGATGTGGTTCTTGGGGTCACGAAGAGTCGGACACGACTTAACGATTGAACAACAACAACAACAAAACTAAACACTGAGAAAGGAATGCCCCAAGGTTATGTACTGTTATTTAATTAACATGTGCAGAATATACCATCCATTTCTGGACAAGAAATAGAAACTGGAATTAAAATTGCTAGAAGAAACACCAACAATCTCAGATATGCTGGTGATTGGAAGCAAAGGGATCTCTTGTTGAAGGTGAAAGAAGAGTGTGCAAAGAGTGGTCTGTTGTTCAGTAATATATGGTTATGTCAATAAGCAATTTATTTATTTATTTTATTTATTACATTTCTCCCTGCCCATCTCCCCCCAATGGGGGACTCTGGGAGGCTCACACAGAACATTAAAACCATAAATACATATCAATACATAAAACATAAAAATTTAAATAAAACATTACTAAAAAAGAAGAAAAAAAAAGAAAGTCCAAGAATGCCAGCTAATCCAAACAGGCAGAGAAACTGTAGTAGTAACAGAATTTATCTTCCTCCGCTCAAAAATTCAGAGTGATGTTGACCCTAGCCATGAAATAAAGAGATGCTTACTACTTGGGAGAAGGTAGACCAAAGTACAGAGAAATTACACTGGCAATAAAGTTACATTTTGTCAAGGCCGTGCTTTCCCCAGCTGCACCACGTGGTGTGACAGCTGGATCACGAGGAAGGCTGAACAAAGAAAAATGGATGCCTTCGAATTGTGGCGCTTAAGAAAATTGTTGTGAATACCTAGAACGTCAAGAAGAGCAAATCATTCAGTAGCTGATGAAATAAAAACAGACTGTTCACTGGGAGCACTAATACGGAAGCTAAAGCTTAAATATTTTGGTTGCAGTCACTGGAGAAGACCATGACGCCTGGGAAAAATGAAAAGCAGCTGAAAAGGCAACGGCTAGAAGAAAAAGTGGCTTCTCTTCAGGTCATCAAGCGAGTAAACAGCAAACAAGACACCTTAGGCCTCCATCTTAGAGGGTTTTCCCCCCTAAGGACCCACAGAAAACATAACATAAAAAGACCTAGTCATGTAACTTCTTACAGTTGTTATTATGCATCTACATACCCCAAAATCTGAGGATGGGAGTAAGTCAATAAAGCTTTACCTTGATGTTTTCGAGTACCTCTGTACATGCCTCTGAACATAGGGTCAGTTAAGTTAATACCAATATCTAGTTAAAAGAAAAGGCAATCATTAGTTGCTAACTGGGTTGAGTGAAGGTATATAATTTTGCTCAGAGCAGCAAATGCAGTTTTTGCTATTTCAGCATCTTCCGAAAGTATCCAACACTGCACCTCAATGCTTACCGAAAAGACCCTTAATTAACACCCTATTGACTCGATTCACATGATACTCTTCAACAGGTCCAGTAAAGACTCAGAGGTCGCATTCCCACGACATCCTAACCTCGGTTAATGGTAATTTTGCTTCGTTTTTTGTGAATGAGCATTTTGTGGCAGCCAGGTGTGGCTCAAGGAGTCGTCGCAGCCCAGAACCGGCATTCTTTCCCTAACCAGAATCAGTAGGTTGTGTGAACACAGCCCCAAAGATCCAAGCTGGGACCATCGACGGGGAAGCGAGCTCTAAGGGCTTCCCTCCGTCCCCCGGAACTGCTATTTTCCCCAGAAGGGAGCTGCCCGAGGTGGCGGGATGCGCGCTATTCCCACGGCCACCCAACCCCGTGTCCCCGCATTCCGCCCCAGGACGCCCGAACGCCGCTCCGTCCCCCGGTTGCCCGGGCAACCGCCCTCACCAATGAACTTGAAGCGGCTCATGACGACAGCCGCCGGGCTCCGCGCGGGCCCTCCTCGCTAGCCCCAAAGAGGCAGAGGAAGCGGGGTCGCTACGCGCCGCCTCTCACTTCCGGTTCCCTTGTGACCGCGGCAGGTCGCCTGGGAGGAAGCGGAGCGTCGCAGCGAAGGAAGCGCCAACCCTCTGGTGATCGGCAGCGATCTTGTAGCTTGGACCTCGGAACGAGCTGGCTTTGCACAGCGCACTAAGCCCCAAAGCAAAAGCAAAATTAAAAACGGAATCCTAAGTCTCAAAATAGCTTAACAATGTCAAGTCAATATCTTCATAACAGCAGAGTCCCACCAACCATCATCTTCCTCGCCTCCTGCACAGGCCGCTCCGTTTCTCTTGGTGGGCTTTCCCAAAGGGGGCACTCAGGGCAAAGTCACTTTCTTTGTATAATATATATATCGTATTTCCTGCGCCTTAAATAGTCTACACCCGCTGGACTCTCCGAATGCCGGCAGAGAGGCCCCTCTACTTATTATCATCTCCATGAGTCTGTATCAAAACGTCATATCCTCCCCAGGAGGATGATTACTCGTAGAGATAAGAAAATAAGAGTAGTACTTCCCAGAAAATCGTCATCTCGGGCCCGAGGCGCAGAAGCAGAGGAGTTTCTCCAGAGACTTCGACTGGGCTCACGCTGTATGATGCGCAGGGAGAAAACTGGTGACGAGGACTTCAGCGACCGCGTGTCACTCTACACCTTTCTCTCTCTAGAGGCCGAACGTCTTGGTGCTCCCATCAGCCCCTGCGGCGCAGCTTCCACCGCCCCCCCCCCGTCCCCTGTCCTGAAAGTCGAGTGGGGCGCAGCCAAGATGGCGACGTACTTGACGCATCGGCAGAAGGTGCTGCGGCTCTACAAGCGAGCCCAGCGGCACCTCGAGTCCTGGTGCATCTTCCGGTGAGTCACCGGCCCCTCGCCCCGTTCCGCAGCTCATACGGGCCTCCGCTCCCTCCGGGTTGCGGGAGGACTCCCATCCCCATCATCCCCACTCCTCGCCGTGCCTGGGGCGGGCGGGCGTTGTGGTCCGACGCGCTAGCTTGCTCTCATGAGCGTTTATTTCTTCTTTTTCCTTTACCCAGCGCCTCCGCGCCTTCTCCGTTGCGCTTTTCTTGCGCGGATCCTGCGCCGAGTTAATCCGCGTGTCCGTGGCTTCTGTTTACACGACAGCACCGAGTTGGGGCAGAAAGGCACGGGGCTGGGGTCAGGCATCACGCTAAGCCAGGGTTGGGTTAGTTGTGGTTTGCTGAATATGGGCCCCAGCAGATCGCCCGGCAAAACTAGGGTTTGCGGTCCCTTTTTGCAGGGAAGGGGAATTCTATCATCCCCTGCCAACAAGGCTTACTCCGAGCTGAATAGGGATGTGATCTGGCCTAACCAGGGATGTACACAACAACAACACATTGAAGGCACCCTTATGGTACATTGCTTAGGAGAAGACTTGTTGGACTAAATTAATTGATTTCTAAATTGATAATGTTGTGATTCATGGTGGACTACAGGTAGTCCTCAACTTATGACCATTCATTCAGTGACCGTTCAACATTACAATGGCACTGAACAAATGGTGGTTATGACTGGTCCTCAGAGTTCCAGCTGTCCCAGCAACCCCACGGTTACATAATCGCAATCTGGGCGCTTGGTAGCCGGCTTGCACTTACAACTGGTTGCAGCGTCCTGCGATCAGGTGATCGCCATTTGCGGCCTTCCCTTCCGACTTCCCCAGAAAGTCAGTGGGGAAGCCGGCATGGAAGGTTGCAAGTCATTAAGGTAAGTCTCCCCCACACGCGCACCTCCCCCAGCTCCTCTGCACTTGAGCCACACTGGCCACTCGCGCACCCTCCCTGAGCCTTGCTGTGCCTCCCTTGCACCCCCGCGCACAACCTGACTTGATTGTGGGAATCCAGCAGGAAGTTGCCTCACCTAACGACCATGAGATTCAGTTAACAATGGCAACCAGAACTGCTGGGATTGCCATTGCTAAGCAATATGTTCACGTGACATTGCGCCCTTATGACCGCCTTGCTTAGCGATGGAAATTCTAGTCCCATGCCGTCATAAGTCGAGGACTACCTTATGTAATGCATCCCACCCACCTCACAATTTCAGGTTTTCTCCTGCAGGAACATTTGTATGCAGTATTTCACTTCTATTTGATGAATTTCCAATATTTTACTTTCTGGTGTTTTTGATACCAATGTTATTATCCTCTTCCCTTTTTTGAGAATTCTGTATTATTTGTTGGTGGATATGATGAGAATAGATGGGATAAGTTTATTAGGTAACTCTTGGGCATTTCCCAACACAGCTGGAAGAGTCTTAGATAAGCTTTGGGAATTATCACTACAGTACCTAGTATGAGAATAAAAGAATAAAACAAGATTATCATTTATTCCAAGCTGTGCCTCCTGACCACGTTATTTCTCCAGAGCATCAATGTTTAAAAACAATAAAAGTCCGAGAAGAGGGATGCTCAGGAGTTCAGCTGATTCCATATTGTTCAGATGGATCAGCCCCCAAATGAAGTGCAGAGAATTTGAAAACAATCTCTCCAAACTAAGTAAATAGACAACAGAACAACAAATGAGATTTACAATAAGTGTGAGGTGTTGGGGCCCATACCCTATTCAGATTACACATGTACCATAGCAGAACTGAACTGGTAGGGATTCTTCTGGAAATAAATCTTGGTAAGTATGTGGCAGTTAAAAAATAATAGTGGCCTGCTGCCATCGTTGGGACATGGAGATAGAACAGCATTGGTAAAAATGCTGTCAAATAAGCCAGTTTTGTTTATTAAGCACGTGTTACATAGCCACACTTGCTATATTGTGTCTGGTTCTTGTTGTGGACTCAACATATAAGTATGCAAAAATATATTGAAATAGGCAAATTAGGATGATGGGATGAGGTGGAATGTTGCATCTTTTCCATCAAGAAAAACAAAAGAATGTAGGCGCCACAAATAACTACTGCAGCCATTTCAGTCCTATCTAAAACATGATCCAAGGCTATAAATCTTCATATTTAGGAGGAAAAAAACTGCAGTCAGATAGATAATCTATTTATATATGTAATATAATTAGTTGATTGATCACAGCTGGGTATAAATCAATAATCAACAAGATACCCTATTTGACTATTGGGGCCCTCTAGTGGCCATTCTACAGAGTTTTTCCACATAGAAGTTTTTTAAGAGTGTGTTCTTGTTATATTTATATCCCACCTTTATGTATGCTCTCACCTATTTTCCCCACAACAACAGCTCTTTGAGATGGGTTGGGCTGAGAGTGACTGGCCCAAAGTCACCCAGCCAGCTTTGAAGAAGTCAGTGGCAAACCACGTCCATATTGTTCCCAAGAAAACTGAATGATATGTCCTTGTAATCACCAGGAATAGAGCTGGACTCAGGAGCATCTCTCCTTCTGTTAACTTAACACCAGGATATTTTAAGTGCTCCAGACAGTCTATCAGACAGTCTTTGGCTAACCATGCGGCTTAGAGTGTGTCTGATCAAAGTGTGGTACAAGTAAACTAATTTGTTCCCTGTCTTGACTTTTACAGCGTCTGAAAATGTCTGAGTACATGCCGGGGTGCCATTCAATTTTTACATGGTCGTGGCAGAAAAGTATATATTATGTAATACTTACAGTGACCATATTTTCTTGGAAAAAATAAAGGACAAACCTGAAAAAGGGGCAAATCTGAAAGAGGTTCATAAGGATAAAAAAAAATTAATAGTTTATGTTTATAACTTTGCTTTACAAAGGAAAATTCAAGAACAAAAGCAAGAAAGTAAATAAATCTAAAGGACAGCTTTCTGAAATAAAGGACTGAACTTTGTAATAAAGGACGTTATGGTCCCTGTAGTAATAGTAGAAATGACAAAATCTGTGTGTCAGATTTTGATTTATCACAATTATGGGAAAAGGACTTCCCCCCTTTAGATACAATACTTTCTTAATCATAGTTTTAATGAAGAAAGTTGATAGAACTCGATTACATACAAACTGTTCTATTTCCTTTTTTCTATTTAGGATGATTTTGTAGTTCCAGAGCTGGGAGTGCCTAATTCTTGTTTAGATGATGAAGTTCTTTTTCAATAATATCACATTTGGAGCTGTTTAAAGGACACCTTTGCTTGTTGCAGTAAGGTGGAAGGAGAGGAACTATCAATGTTTGCCTTTCCTCTTAATGCTTTTCTGCTCTAAATAAGTGTTATGGTCCAATCCTTACATTAAGCCAAAGTGAGCAACCTGCGACCCCAGAGCCCCTGCTGATAATGATTGCTGAAAGGGCAGCTTCCCACTCTTTTCAGCCGAAAAACACATTTTAAACAGTAGTATATAATTAAAAGCCAGATGCAACCTCCACAGCTCCCACAAGCCCCCAGTGAGCTGACATGTGTGATATTGTTCCACCCACACTGCAGCCCCAAGGTCTTCAGTTCCCAAAGGCTGCCCACCCTGCAGTTAGCCATGATTTTGATAGCCACAGTTGGTTAGATTCACATTCTGCACTGATACCAAAATGACAGATTGCAGGCAACAGTGGCTGGATTCGCATATCACGAATAGCTAAGTCAGCACAAAACCAACCACATTATGGCTTCTGGTGATGTGTAAACTCAGGCACAGAAAGAAATGGATGTGCAAGTTCTAGACAGAACTGTTTTCTGTGCTGAAGCCACCCTTCCTGATTCTGTGATTCTGTTGGTGCTTATGAATTGGCTCTCAGAAGGTCTGTCATATGTGTGTAGCTCAACTTGGATATCTATTCCTCTCTCTGGTTTCAGCCACAGTGAAATGGCTGGACTGGACATTTACATGTTCCTTTCTTGTTCCTCCTCTGCTCTCACAGTTCCTTCTCTCCCCCCCCCCACTTTTTTAGCTATGTACATTGGTTTTAGCACTAATTTTATGCTAATCATAATTGGTACTAAATTTGGTATATTTAAATGCTAATTGATATTAACTCTGAATGGGGAATTTGTGCAAGATAATAGAGAAGAAGAAAGGAGTCCATTAGCCCAGTGGTTGCTCCCAGTCCTCAGTGATTAGGCATTACAGTGCCTCCGTGAGGTCTACAGAACTGGTCACTTATTCATTAGTGTGGTTTTCAAGTGATTGTGAATTGACATGTATGGGTTCTGTGCCTCCAGAGAACCATGTTTGGAACATTCTAGAGCTAAGATTTTTGATGGGAGCCCCACTCCTTGCCAGATGTTTCCATAATTTCCCTCCATTTTAATGGCTGCTTAGTATACTCGTGGAACCAAGTGAAGAATACATGTAGTCCTTGCTTAACGACCACAATGGGGACTGGCAACTTCTTTGCTAAGCGACACAGTCATTAAGTGAGACATCACATGATCACGACTTGTGGTTTTACTGCCAGCTTCTCCATTGACTCTGCTTGTTGGAAGCTGGCTGTGAAGTGCACAAATGGCAATCACATGACTATGGGGCACTGCAACTGTTGTAAACACCTGCCGGTTGCGAAATGCCCGATTCTCAGTCATGTGACCGTGGGGATGCTGCGACAGTCGTAAGTGCAAGGACCGTAGTAAAGTTACTTTTTGAGTGCTGTTATAACTTCTAGCGGTCACTAAACAGGGCAGTTGTTAAGTGAGGACTACTTGTAAAGTTGTGAGGAAAAGAGGGCAAGTGTGAACTCACAGCCGAGCACTTGAAGAACCACAGTTAGAGGTAAGTAGCCAGTTCCTCATCATGGTCTTTGAAATCATACATATGGGTGAATAACAAGTAGACCTCTCTGCAGGTAACTCAGGAAATCAGCAGAGCACTGAGAACAGCACCACACTATCAAAGGAGGCATCTCTTTGAACCTGACAATTGAGATGGTAATGTTTGATTAATGTGGGAGGCTGGACGCACGTATCTACCCTCCATGGGTCTGGGATCAGCACATCCCCCCAAAAGGATAGAAGTATCTCTTGGTCTACTGGAATATCCTCTGATGAGGTTTAGTCCCAGCTGCTTTGATAGTTCTTAGGCTGAAGGCAACATAGCAGCTGTAGGACTCCTTTTTGGAGCCAGTATAAGTGGCTGACTGGTACTGAAAGGAGCTCTACTGTGGATAGAATAGCCCTGGATTCTATGTGATCTCTACTCCAGAAAAGACAATGGGTCTGGTTGGAAGGCTCTTGGTTCTCATAAAGACAGGTTCAGACTTAGGAAAGAAATGTCTAGGTGACTATCTTTTCCATATGAAAGGTCAGGTATCAAGAATTAGTCTGTAAAACATGAAGATCACTTGTCTTCTGCTTACGTTTTGGCTATAAGGAAGGTTGTTTTCCAAGAAAGGATAACGCATGGGAGCATAGAATAAGAAGGGTTTATCCATGAAAAATGGTGAGGACTATGGTGAGGCTGGAGTTGTTGGTGCTGACGAAATCACAGGAGGGTACAGATTACTCAGCCCCTAAATAATAGATTTTTTAAAAAAGGAAAACCCTAATAAGTGAAATATGAAGTATCTGTCAGTTCAGAAGATAGTTATTTTTTTTTTCTTGGAATACATATTGTCTTTGTATTCTCAGGGATAAGTATCGATTTTATGCCTGTCTGCTGAGAGCACGGTTTGATGAGCATAAGGATGAAAAAGATATGATTAAAGCAACCAAGCTGTTGATGGCTGCTGAAGAAGAATTTTGGGCAAGCCAGCATCCTCAGCCATACATCTTCCCTGACTCTCCAGGTGGCACAAGCTATGAGAGATACGAGTGCTTTAAGGTCAGGAGGTGACACAGCAGGCATTATGAGTAATTCATTCCTTGATGTGTTGCAAATATTGGCATCCTCAATCCCAAGAGCTTTCAGTAACTTTCATTAATAAGTACAAGAAAATTCCCCAGTAAAAATGCAGAACTATCCTCTTGTTACAAGGAAGAATCCATGAATGCAGGGCAACAGGGAACTTGTCCAGGTCTCACTTTAATGAGCATCAGTGATCCAGCCACTACCTGTGCATTCACAAGACCCTAAAGAAATAGGAGAAAGCTCAGTGGCAGTGTGTGCTTTGCTTGTAGGAAGTCTTCTGCTTGACCTCCAGTTAGAAGAGAGACCTGATAGCAGGGGGTGGGAGGGAGCAGAAGACTCTATAAAGCTGTTGCCAAACTGCAGCACCAGAGAAGCTCACAGGACATTTTTGTACACAGCAATGTCTCGTGGTTGCAACCAGTGCTTTAGAAATCCAGGAGCAGCAGCTTGAGCCACGCAAAGTGATTTGGAGCTATCACTCTCTCCATGTTGTTGGACTGTGTTTTATGCACTGAATGGTTGCTAGAGAAGGAACTAGTTATCTGAGACATTCAGGTCTGTGGCTTAAGAATCATTCCTGCTCATTAAAATGCACCTTCTACCAATCCTTTACCACATCCACACTTTGGGGAGGTTCTGGGGGGTTGAAATGAGGAGGTGCCGCATTTCTGCAACAGCGCCAACATTGTGGAACAGCCTTCCTGTGAGATCAGGCTAGATCAACCGTGTTGGTTTTTCAGTACCTTTTGGAGTTTTTTCAGAGTGCCTGCTCCTGATTTGTTGTTCCCACCTTATTTTTATTTTTTCTGGTTTTACTGTTGTATCGTTGTATTGTTGTTGCATTTTTATTTTTGTACCATGGATGTTTTAAATTGTATTTTTTTCCCCTATGTCCAACCAAGAGTCTTTTTGTTTGTCACAGCATATAAAAATGTTACCTAAATAACTGAATATCAAGAATTAGGTAGAAAAAACATTATCAGCATCTGATTACCTACCACCACCACCTTTCTCTACAGATGAGAATAACTTTTTCTTCTGAAATGCAATGATTCTGCCATACCAGGATGATCCAGTAGTTTTCTGGAAGTAAGTCTTCCAGTGCAGGAAATAGTATCTCTGGAATCTCATAATTTTGGTTTAAACCAGTGTTTCCCAACTTCAACAATTCTAAGATGTGTAGACTTCAACTCTCAGAATTCTCCAGCCATAATGCTGAGAAACCCTGGTTTAAACAGACCAACAACCACAGCCTGTTACTAGACACACAGTATATGAAATAAATCTATCCAGAAACTTCTAAGCAAAAGAGCAAGACGACTGTTGTTCCTTTAAAGACGCCATGAATAACCTTTTGTTCATGCTCTGACCTGCTTCCGCCCTGTAGTCACCTGAATGGGTCCTAGATATGTGGCATCCGTCAGAGAAAGCAATGTACCCCGATTATTTTGCTAAGAGAGAGCAATGGAAGAAGCTGCGGCTGGAAAGTTGGGATAAAGAGGTTTGTTATCCGACTGTATTTTACAATTACTTTTCTATGAAATAACTTTGAAGCAAATCACAAATAGTTCTGTTTGGTGATACCTTGGGATTGGGGTCTTAAAATCTGGCCTGGGGCCTCATGGCCCGTCACCCACTGTTCTGTGTCCCTTAGGCCCCCTCCTTGAGGTTGGGAAGAAGCCAGAAAGGTTGACCCTTTTTTTAAGAATAGGCAGTTAAGGAGTAAAATGGGTGCCTTAGAGGATAAAAGCACCCTTTTCACTTCTAAAAGGCTCACCAAAATGGTTCTTAGTTTTGTCCACCAAGGGAGATTCAGGTTCAGCATGCTATATGTATATTCTCTCTCTGTTGACTGAGCCATGACTTAAGGGAGCCATGACTTTTCTGGGGCTCACATAGCCACATGGGCTCAGGAAAATAATGTGTTTGTAAGATGGTAGCAGTTTTATTTATTTGTCACATTTATATAGCCGCCCATCTCACACGAAGCAGCTCGAGTGGCGTAGAGCAATGCACACACTGTTGCTTAATTCAAACACAAATTTCCCCTGGGATCATGTGGCCCTAAGCAAGCTTAGAAAGTGATGTGGCTTCTTTGAGAAGCCACCAACTTGTGTCAATGCCCATATCTGCTCTGAGGGACCTCTTTGCCTATAGAACTGAAGCACGCTGGATCCCTAGTGTTAAATCATAAAGATACATTGAAGTGACCTTGAGCAGTTGAGTTGATTTAGCATTAGAGGCATTCATTCTGCCTCTGCCCATTTGAAGCAATCCCCCAGCTTCTAACTGCATTGTGCATTTTTTGGGGGTTTTTTCTATTCTTCCCTGAACCTCAAAAGAGAGTTTTAAATGGCTGGGGGAAGCAGTTTTATGCAAGGATACATTTATGCAGGAGTAGACACGGTCCATTTTCTCCAGTTCAGCAGTATTTCCATTTATTTATGCTAGGTTTGTTTGCTGGCTAGAATTGGAAATGAACTTTTAATCAAAAACACTCCAAATATAATGGACAGCCCATCTCCAGATTATCTTGATGCTGTTACTGGTGGTGGTTTTTGAAAACTGGATTCAGAGTGCATTACTTTATCCTTCATCTCTGTTGTCATCCCCCCCCCCCTTTTATAATTTTAGTTCCTAAACCTGACTGCCATAAAGTTCAGTATTAAGGCTTCCAATGCTTGAAAAGGATGCTTCACTTTAAAAATGCTTCCACTGAAGTCTCTCTCCCCCCGCCCCCGCAGTTATCTTACAAAACATTCTCAATGCCCCCTTCCCCACACTTCTAAGGAATGAAGGAAATCCTGTGGATGTGCTGCTGGAAGCTTCTTCACTGTACTGAAAGTGTTGGGAGAGGTCTTGTTGAGATAAAGCACAGCCCGATCTTCACCTCATCACCATCTCACGCCTCAGTGTTTCCTTGTTCCAGAGAAGTCATACAGTAGTTACAACGTGGAAACACAGCTTAAGACGTATTCTGAATTTAGCATTTTCCCATCAAGTGTATTAAACGCCGTTTCTCATTTACAGGTTCAGCAGCTTCAGGAAGAAACCCCAGCAGGAGGTCCCACTTCTGAACAACTGCCTCCAGCTCGTAAGGAGGGACTCTTACCTCCTCTGTGGTGGCATTACGTAACGAAACCTCGCAATTATCCATTGTAAGAGCTCCTTTCTGAAATGCCAACATGCTGCCAGAAAATGGATTGTGAGCAGATGGTCTCCTTGCGTTACCGTACTAATGAACACAATAAAGTCTGATATAAATGAAGCTGTAAGCCTACATGCCCAACTATTGCTGTAATTATTTAAAGCCTTCTCAGCAGTCTTACTGTGAGAAGCAAGACTTGCAGCGTCTCTTAAGGAAGTCACAGGCTACTCCATGATGTTAGCAAAGGGAATGTAGTTAATAAAAGGAATCCATTGTTTAATCTTGCCACCATTGGGTTTATATGGGGGGTGTGTGTGGGAGGGAGGGGGAGAGTGCTCTTATGCTGTTCCTACCAAAGTGAGTACACAGAATAGATCTTGGGAAAGCTGGAATCACATTGGAGCACTGATCACGATTGTTAGTTTTGCAGTTCTTATTCCAAGTAGGAGCACACTGTACTCTAAAAGCAGCTGCCCCGTGGCCAGATTTTGTCTGCATCTGCCTTACAGCAGAATAGAAAGCTGCAGCCTTTTAACGCAAGCTATCATTAATCAGGTAGAAATGTAATAGTAATGGGTTGGTCAAAGAGCTAAAATGCTTCTAGGAAGTGTTTAAAGGAATTAGTAAAGATCAGTCATTTGGCTGTTGAAAAATGTGCTGTCTTTCTGTACGTTCTGCAATGAGCTCTGGATCATTCTGATTCAAAGTTGCTGGGCTTTTTGAGGGGCAAGATGGGGCCTCGAGTACCAGCCAAATCATCATTGCTCCTTAACAAAGAACTCAAAGATAGCAGGATATCCTTGGTTTTCTTAATCATGTACCATAGCGAGCTTTATAGAAGATGCTTTGGTAAAGGATGGGCAAAGGGGGAATGCTCACTCGTGAGACGTCGTTTTGACGTTTTTCATGCAACTATCAAAGCACGGGAGCCTCATATTGGAAATGAAGCTGATGGCGCTGAGTCCATGATCCTTTCTGAATGAAGACCAGTTCATTGCAAGATAGTTTTCTTCTTCAATAACCTGGCTGTGTAAGCAAAGCCATTTATAGTTGGTGTTGTGAGCTCAAACTCTAAAAGAAACACTAAAACCTCTGAAGATAGGGGCAAATTCAAGAAAAACCAGTGGTACAACTCTGGGGCAAGTTTCACTTGCTTCCTCAGTCCCCTCATCAGGAAAACTAGCAAGTTGAGGGACAGGAAATGTGTGATCCTATGCGCAAAGATGTTCTTCTCCACTGCTAAAATGCCATGGAACTAGCAGGGCTGGTTTTCTACCTGGCAGCTCTGAGGTTAATGATTCAACCTCTATCCTTTCCCAACCCAGCATCCTCCAAATTTGTAGGATGACAACTTCCAAAAACCACAGAACATTTGGAGGGCACAGTTTGGAGAAGAATGCCTTGCAGGTTGCTACTTAAAGAAGAGTGGGGACAAAAAATAAAACCCCAGACTGTTTCTTGGATTACAGAAAAGATGCAAACAACTCAAAAGCAGATTTATCAGCAGGTCTTTATTTGTAATATAGGCTTGAAGCATTCGTTACAAGGTAGAAGGGAAGCACAGTTAACAGCTATTTTTATTTTTAGCAGTTCGGAACAAAAACACTGCATGGGAGAGAGGTCAACTCTCGGTACAAACTAGCAACTAAACCACAAGAACTTACCATTAGAAACATTTTACATTGTGACGCTGCTGTTACAATAGGCAAGGAACACAAAAAAGAAAAGGAAAATAAATCCCAAAAAAACCCCAAAAATACCGCAACAGAACTATTCAAAATGGTTTGCTACGTTTTAACATTGAATTTTGGCAATAGTTTATTGTTATTTTTCAACTGAGATTTAATTCTGGTGTTTAAAGAAATGAGGCTGCATCCAAGAAGTTTTCTAAACATGTTTTAGACGTGATTTTTCAGGAGCATCTCCCGTATGAGCCTCGCTGAAAGCAATGGGGGTAACACCAGGGCGTGCTCGAGCCCTTAACAGAAACACTTAAAAAAAAAAAAGCAGCTTAGAAAAATCACCTTGTCAGCCTGCACCCTTTTTGTCCATTTTTCTTCCCCTTTACAAGTAGGTAAGAAAAATGAAATCTCGGAGCATCATTTGCAGAGAGCATCCGCTCTTTCTTCCCGGACAAGCGGGCTAGTGTGACAGGCACTTTCTTTTTTGTAGGAAGGAAAGCTAATTATTCTTTTGGATCATGCCTTTTTTCCTTTTCGCTTCTGACGCCATAAAGAAAGTGTTAAGCAACCACAGCTGTGTAAATGTATATAGAACACAGTGACTATAACAGGTTTACAATACATCTCACGTCCAATGCAGTTACGTATTTAAAGCATAAGAAGTTACGTAGGCAAGATGGCAGCCAATACGAGTCTCCCGAGTGTCCGTGGCGGAGAAGATTGTGCACACTCACAACCCAGCCCCTTCCACGATGCGTGGTGCCTCACGGCAACCACGAACACGCTCCTCTGTCGTCAAAAATTCTGCTAGCATTGCCCATGTAGAAATAAGGCAGACGGTATCCAGTTAGACTGCAGAATGCTTTAAAAAAACCACAGAACCTAAACACCGGTGGTGCCTGAGTTATGCACATTTCTACGGACCCCATGAAATGGAAATATCACAGCAATGTTCATGTTAAGAAAAGAAAATCTTATTTATAAATTTATCAACAGTGCTCCCCCCAAATAATTGTGGGAAAAAAAATAATAAAAAGGAAACTAGTTGTGAATGCCCCTCCCACTGTAATAAATAAAACCCGAAGAATGTTCCCAGCCCTCCCCTATCCCCAAATCTTGTATTTAGGAAAAACCAACCCAAACTGCCATTTCAAAAAAAACAGTCCCTTGAAAAGTAACATTTGCAGTTTTACTGGAGTTCCCAGTTGGTTGCCCGTCCATCTATGAGTTGTGTTGTCAAAAGTAGTGGGGGCTTTTCCCATTTATTTGGCAACCCAGCCTGCTGGGCGCAGCCAGTAAAAGGTATAAAGTTATAACTAAGAACTCCCTGGTTTTTTTTAAAATTTTTTTGCTTTTTTTTTTTTTTTTTTTTAACAATGTATACACCCTTCTGCCTTCACGTCATCTATTTTATGTCATGTTCTGTTTATTTCTTTTAAGGAACACAAAGTGAAGAGAGGAATGCAAAGTTTAAGCCTGTTGTAAGATGGTATAAACTGATACCGAGGTCTCACGATGACCAGAAATTAAAGCACACCATGCGGTTTACAGAGGCAAGAAATCTTAACATGGCTCCAATCGGATTTCATGGGGCCAACATAGGAAAAATTCCTAGCAGGCAGCACCCCAAAGTCTTTAAAACACCTTACTTAAATGAACACTGTAATTCTTTATGGCTTATTTGGACGTATTTACCATGAAACTACCTGCTAGCCTACGTTTGTGCAACAAATTAAGCCCCTCCCCTCGTAATCCCTAAAGATTAACTAATTACAGTCGTTCTCTCTCTCTCTCTCTTCCATTATATATTGCTTTAATCAGCTTCTGTTTCCTGCCTTTGCAACAGGAGAACAGGTCACTGTATTTCAGTGAGGAGTTGCGTTCTTGCCATGAACTTTGTGCAAGAAAACGAACACTGATTCGGGACCCCCACTATTACAGACAAGGTGCTCTACAAAAACTTTCAAGAAGGAGAGTGCATTTCCACTGGACCCCCACCCTTGCTGAAATTTAACTACTTGACATTTTTTTATAATCATCCTTTTGTGAATAATACATTTTACAAAGAGTTATTAAAAAGTTAAATGGGATTTTGGCACCTTTGGGAAAAAAATTAAAAGAGGAACTCAGAATTTAAAAATGTGCAGGGGAAAAAAATAATCAGCCACCTTTACAAAAAAAAAATTAATAGTCAGGAAGATGTTCCTATAAGCATTTCAGTTGGCCAATTCTAACCTTTCCCTCCATTTTAGAGACCATTGCCAGCTGTCTCTCCCAGCACTTCCTAGAAAATCTTGATTGTACAGTGAATGGACAGAGACACAAAGTTGACTTCATCAGATAGATCCGTCTCTTTTCACTCGACTTGGGCGGTGATTCAGCATCTAGGAAATGCGGGGTGCTGAGCGATCGTTCGTGGTGGTCTTCCTCAGCTTAACGCCCCTGCGGATAGCATTCAGCATGTCTTCGCCTTGCGGGGTCTCCGCTGGGTTCTGCCCACCCAAATGAGGCACGGGCTGGCATGGAGGAGCAGCCATGTTCAAGCTTTCCCTTTCGTTCTCCTCTCCCTCACTTTCAGCAGCTCCTGGTCTCTGATCCTCTGCGCTGCTTGGCTTCTGACTGGTGGGAGGAAGGCTGGCAGGTGCTTGCCCACTCCACGAGGAGGATGTACATACCATGGGGGTGCCGCTACTTCCAGCCTCGGGACTTTGTTCGGAGCTTTCTTCTGTCCCTCCTGGGAAACCTGGAAGTCCTCCTGGTACGTCCGGCACAGATGGAGTCTTAACGGGAATCACAGGGGTCTTAATTGGAATTGGCCCCGCTCCTATGGTCCCGCGCCTTACCACTGGTTTGGTAGAAGGGGTCCGCCGGATGGTGGCTACGCCCGGTGTAACGATCACAGGGCCAAGCGTGGTTGGGAGGCCCGCAGTGGAAGCGGGACGCTTCGCATGGAACATTCGACGGTAGGATTGGCTGATGTCGCTGTTCCTTGGAATAGTTGAAGACTTGTCAAATTCTTGCTGCTCTGTGTCTTGGTCCCCACTCACAGAAAAGTAGTCATAATCTGAAACTGGGGAGGAGAAAAAGGGGAGTCAGAACCTTAACAAACAGCAAATCTTGGGCAATGGTGACCAAATTGCCACTGAATGTATTCAATCTATACTTTCTTTTTTTTTTTTTTTGGTATATAATTTTATTAAAAGTTTTAAGAAGGAAGATAAAAACTAATACAAACTCATGTAAAGTAAGGAGAAAAGAAAAATAAAGAAATCAAAGAGAAAGCTGAAAGTGTAAGGAAGGAAAAAAATTAGAAGAAAAATAGAAAAGAAAAAAGATACAAAGAAGAAATAGCTTCCGATCTTCTTTACAGCAGTTATGAATACAATTATAAATATACCTCTTACTCTAAAGTTACACCATGACTCTCTATAATATATTCTGTCTAATCATCCAAACCATAAATCATAAGTTTGTGTTTTTCTGTTTTATGCAAAAAGTCCATAAGGGGTTTCCAGTCAGCAATAAACGAAGATAATTGTCTTTTCTCTGATCAAAGAAGTCAATTTAGACATCTCTGCAAGTTCCATCATCTTCACCAACCATTCCTCCATTGTGGGTAGTGCCAAATCTTTCCATCTTTGTGCGACAATAATCTCGCTGCAGTTATCATATACAAAAACAAAGTTCCATGACTTTTTTCCAATTGCTTGCCCATCAATTCCAAAAGAAAGACTTCTGGTCTCAATTGTATATTAATCTTTAAAATCCTCTGAATCAGTGTATGTATTTGAATCCAAAATTTTCTAGCTTTTTTACATGTCCACCAAGCATGATAAAATGAGTCACTTGGATTGAGATGGGCGGCTATAAAAATTGCATTCAATTGTATATTAATCTTTAAAATCCTCTGAATCAGTGTATGTATTTGAATCCAAAATTTTCTAGCTTTTTTACATGTCCACCAAGCATGATAAAATGAGTCACTTGGATTGAGATGGGCGGCTATAAAAATTGCATGATAAATAGACCCTTCAATCTACCTTTCCACTTCATTTTTGACTGGCTTTGAGTTCCAGACCTTCTGACTAAGAGCCCTACCCTAAACGTTGGGCTTCCTTGCTTGCTATATTCTCCACTTTTGGTAATTTCTTTGATGACAAGTGCTGGAGAACTCAAAAGCTCACATTCTTATGCCATTTCGGTTGGGCTGAACTGAGAGGCTCAGGAAGATGTTTCATTTAGTCGCATTTGAGTGATCTTTCCATCCAACAGCAGCAGCAGAGATGGGGAAAAGGAGGTTGTATGGCTTGAAAGACTATGTGGGGAAAAGCTTCTCTCTCTGGTATTTCTCCTTCCTGAGCATTTTCGGTTCAAGTTGCTAATTAGAAGAACTCTGAAATTTCAATTACTTCCTTTCTCTTTCTCACTTTTCTCTTCCACCTATGTTAGAGTCAAGGTGTGATTTTCAATTATTTATATAAATGAAAACAAACGGATGGTCTGTCACTAATCTTGCATAAGCCCTTTTCAACTGAAGTGGGAAAATGCATTAAAATACAACCATTAACCTCAATCCGTTTTTAAGAAGGGGAAGACTTGAGGAGCTACATTCCCAGTAGAGAGCTGATTTGGGGCTGGGCTGGCCATACAGAAAGTTATTCTCCCACATTAGCTATAGAGTGACAGCACTGTCCACTTCACCCGAAGGCTTGGAGACCAATGTGAGGTTGCAGGGCAAACTGAAGGCCTCCTACAGCCCTGTCCTCTAAGAGAAGCAACAGTTGGCAGGCTGCTCCCCGTTTTTCCAGCTTCCCATCACTCATCAGCACTGCCTGAGACAACCGCCTCCCACTGCCCTCATCTTCTGTCCTAACACGGAGAGTTAGAAAGGGCCTTGAACCTGAACATGACAATTGTATAATTATTTCAAGGTTTAGGAAGCCCTGGAATGACCTTGGAGAAACTACTCAGAAACATTACAGCAGTGTGATGTACAAAAGCATGCTTTGAGCCTGGGAAACAAGGGAAGGGTTAGGAAGAGACTCAGACTGGCTCCTCCCTGGGGCATAAGAGGAACAGAAGGGAAAACACAGACTAACAAAATTCTGTTACAATAGTCTATCTCAACTAAATATAGTTCTGGTCTTCTTGTAGATAACCTCAAAGGACTGGCACAAGTGGTTCTCGACTCTGAAGCATTTTCTATGGATGGCCAACACTTCACTTTTCTCTTTGTATACACTTTCCAGGAGACATTTTGCATAATTGAGAAAGGGTGTAGCAATCTATATGCAGCTTGAAAAGCGAGGGAGCTAGTCTAGCCAAATCCAAGCAGCACTGCAAAAATAACTTGAGCCAAGAAGACTCCTGTTCCTTACCTTGTGAGGGAATGGTATCCTCAGAACAGCAAGGCGTGGTTGTCTGGGTGCTGTAGCCACTGGAGCACTGCAAGGAATCCCTGCTGCTCCTCTGAATGTCCAGTTGCAGCCCTCGAGTCAGAGCCAGAGCCAGCTCTTCACATGCCTCCATCTCTTCTCCTGGCTGCCAACACAACGGAGGCCTCTCATTAGATGAGGACCCAATTAGGACAAGAGCACTGTTCTCTGGTGAAGTCGAGTCTCTTGCTAGGATGCCTCTTTTCAAACTGGATTTTGATTCACAACACAAAGAGGATGGATTTAAGCACAGCCAAGCTCTAACCTGGCTCCTCCATCTGTGTTGGGAATACATTCTCCATCATCCCCAGCTGTTTCAGCTAGTCTGGGTTGTCACAAAATCATTCTATTGCCATATTTGAAGGATACCTGGTTGGGGAAGGCACCATAATTGGGTTCACATAATGGGCTAAGCCATGGTTTGATTTAACCTTGGTTTGCAGAACAAACCATAGTGTCCTGCTTTGCAGAAAACAAGAACCCATAAACGTGATTTGGAATTTATAGAGACTGAGTCCACATATTCCACTGAGTCAAAACCAAACAAACCACATTATGATTTAAAATAATGTGTGAACTGACCTCAATGGAGCTTAAGTGTGAATAATTAAAGTCCCATCAGTTCAGCAGATACATGCTAAATATTTATGATTCAACTGTAACCAGAATGGATAAATGGATAAATTATGCATATACAGTATATCTTTTGCAGATTCTGTCATTCAATTTTCCATAAAATTCAATGGGCAGGGTGGCAAAGAATGATCTTAACAAATGAATGTATATACAAGACATCAACTCACTTTTACTTAGCCACAGAACTGGCAAGGGAAAAGGCCTGTGAGTTGCACAACAGCCTTCCACAAATGAGTTCACATCTTATGGTGATTCTGGGTAGCGTGTTGCATAATCCAAACAATTACGTTTTATTCCCTAAAGCACAGTTATGCAAACTTCCTTACCGCATGTTATTTATTTTTATTTATTTATTTATCAAATATCTTCCCCGCCCATCTCCCCCCAATGGGGGAACTTTATGTATAAAAAACAGAACTGCCTGGATCTCTGCAACCAGACAATCAGCTCTGGCTTATCAAATTGCTGGATTCTCAAAAAATCTTCGGCCAAAAACCCAACAAGCCACATTATGGATCAGTGGGGATGTGAACCCTAGGTGGCACACACATTGTGCTCAGCTGTGACAATTAACCATGGTTGGCTTGCCAAGCCACTGCACCCTGGTGTGCCTATCCCATCAAGCAAAAAGGAAAAGCCAGATGAAGTTCAGCAGCCTATCTGCCCCAGGGTGTGCCTTGAACCTTTTTAGAGGCAACGCATCAGTTCATGAGTTAACCAAGAGTTTCACCTTTGGGGCAGCTGATACAGTCATGCTCCGGGGCCTCTGAGGGTCTTCTGTGGACAGAGGTGGCCCACTCTGAGCCCCCCCGGGAGGATCTGCTTCTCGTTTTTCCTTCCGGCGTTGCAAAGTGTTTACCATGGGCTGGTCGTAAGGACCAGGTTTAGCCCAATCCTAGGAAAAAAGCTCTATTAGTCAAAGCTTATTCAGGTTCTCTCTATCCTTGTGTAATACACAAGCCACAGACCCACCACCTTTTTACAGAAACAGCCCAAAATAATTCAAAATAATGCCCCCCCCTTTTCTGAGACCTAGTGACCAGTTTAAATGTGGGTGCAATGAATATAGTTGCAAATTTCACAGGGGTTATGCTTAGTATCTTGACTGCACTATACCAACAGCAGCACTAAAGGATGGGCCAGTTATGATGATCCCAGCTTGGAGTGCAACGCCATCATCCATCACGATTGGCCACGTGAGATCAGGTGAATGTGAGATAAGAGTTCAATGTCATCTAGCCTTAAACACATTTAGGAGGCCAAAGACTAACCTCAGACAAGTCTCCCTCTTAGTTTCCTCTATTCCAGGGTTTCTCAACCTTGGCAACTTGAAGACATGTGGACTTCAACTCTCAGAATTCCCCAGCCGGCATATTCTGGGAGTTGAAATCCACACGTCTTAAAGTTGCCAAGGTTGAAAAACCCTGCTCTGTTCCCTTCATCTTCAGGCATGATTTCCCAGTATGTTTAAAATAGGAGCCACTATTTAATATAGCACAGAATTAACTCTTAAATTAATAATTATTGGCTCTTAAACCTTGGTTTGATCTTGGCTAGAAATCTAAACTCCCCGTCTCGGATATAATGGGAAGCTCTTGGTTTAAGCACCTCAGGATTAAAGCAATGGAACTGCTTTATGCTTGAAGGGCGCAGGCCACCCCCCCCCATGTCCTGATGAAGTACCAAGAATCATTAAGTGTGACACAGCCCACTCAATATAGTTGTGTATGGTTCTGAGCCACAGCTATCTGTGGAAGCCCTAGCATTCTTGACTTTTATTTATTGGCAATATAGGCTAAGGAACATGACTGGCATCTGCATGACCCAGAGAATCCCTTTTCTTAAGCAATGCCAAAGTATGGATATGAACAGAGAAAGAACTTGCTTGCTCTACCATCATAGCTGCAGTTCTAAACTGTCACCCCAAAACGTCTGCCTTCAAGTATAGAGTGAGCTTGGATTTCATGGTCACACTTCCAGTCCGTTCTGCAATTCCATCTGCGCTGTCCTGGAGAACTGGCCCTTGGACTTTCTCAAACTGCTCCAGAATTCTGTTTTCTATCTCTGGGAGATGTAATTTAAACTCAACCCTTCTGTGAAGTCCTAATCTATCTGCTGATCTCTATCCCCGATGAGCAAAGAGAACTTTCTACTCAAAAACAGGGAATGCTACACTTTATAGGTGTAACTGAAGAGTTAGCAAACTTTTCAGGCAACAGGCATTCCGTTCAAAGGCAGAGGTGCCCCAAATACAGTATTTTAATCACTACAAAAGGCCAAAATGTTGTGACAACTCAAGTGAGATTTGGCAGGATTTGTTTATGGGATGTGACCTATTCGAAAGATGTGTGTCTGTGTCTGTGTAATGCTGGAGATCAATGGATGCTAATGAGGTGGTGCTGTGGGCATCAAGACTCTGCTGGCAACTGGCATGCATGTCATAAATCTAGCCCAGAATTGAAGGAACAGTAACAACAAAGACCAGTGACAGAATGGGATACTATCAAGTAAGCCCATATGGTACTTGGGATCCAATTGCCAAAAGGTGCTTTGGAGAGTGCAAATATAGTACTTGTTTGCAACACCTTAGAGCAGCTGTGTGTTTTGGGATTGTGTGACGGCTGTGGATACTACATTTGTGCTTCTGTGCACTCCAAAGCACACTTCAGATCCAAAGAACTGCACAACATACTATCAACTCTGTGTTTGGGTCTAGACCAGCTGCTCCTGGGCTCTGCAACAAACCCCCTTTTGGTTCTGTTACCTCCCTTCCCCAGGGACAAACACTTGCATCAGCATGGCTTGCTCAGAAGACCTCATCTGTAGCTAGCCAGTAAACTGTTGCTAAGGCAGTGAAAAGACTAACCTTCAAGTTGATGAAATAGGAATGGAGATGTGGCTCCAGATCTTTCTGTAAAAAAAACATGAGCCTGTTGCCAGAAATGGAAATTGCTGATTATGGATGAGTAGAGAACCTCTGGCAGCTCCAGTGATCAGGAACCGCAATGGACATGCTGATTTGTGCCTACACGCCTTTCTAATGAGAAGACTACTACTCTTCAGTATTACTGAGACTGGAAAAGGAAGAACCACATTTTGACAGCAGAGCATTGCTGCAAGTGACTATGGACCCAGGTGTGCCACAGCAGGAACAGAATCTGTGCAGGAAATGTTGCCTTCGCATTTAGCTCCAAGGTTCTGAGGGGTGGGGGGTTGAGAGTTACATGAAACAGATCTAGAGCATAAAACATCTGAGGTGTCTCCGATCTTTTGCGAGGGTAGTGAGGAGGATAGATGCTAAATATTCTGTTCTTTGCATGGACAGAACAGAAAATTACCACTACTAGTTTGCAAACTACAGAGCGCTTCCATATTTCCACTTGTCTCCTTTGCTTGGGAATTTAAGTTAGTAATTTTTCTCAAACTTTTTTCTGGGAAATATTAAGCAAAGTCAACATTTAAAAAAAAAACTGATTAATGTAAACTATGGTCATTAGGCTGGAATCTACTCCAAAATTGGAGGATATATGTTCCCACTTTATCTCAACCAGAATACTTTGCCTTATCTGGCAGTATCACAAATGAAATATTTTGTACCACTGAAATGTGGAATGTGTTGGAGATCTCTGCTAAAGAGAAATCTGTTCTATTAATACAAGTCTGTAATTGACAAGTATCTCCTTAGCATGCTAAGCAGAAAGCAAGGGAGGAAAATGTTGACAAGCAATTGCTTATTCTTGGGCCTAATGTCTATGCTGGCCTGGACATCGATTAGCAAAGTTCAGAGTCTATGAATCTACATACTACTAAAACTCTTGTGTCTGATTGTTTGTAACCTTCAATTGGGTGAAATGGTGCCTCATAGGGCAACAATATTTCTTCAAACAAGGTACCTCAAATGGGCTAACTTACAGAATGTGTCCAAAATCCATTACTCCTGTGGCATTGAAATTTTGGAAAGTTGTGGCTGCTTCAGCACCACGGCTGCTTTAGTGCCGCTGCCGTGTCGCCGTGGTCATGTGACCCTCCTTTCCAATGCTCCCTAACAGCTTCCCACAAGTCAATGGGGAAGCTGGCAGGAAGCCTAAACTTGATTATGGGAGAGTGCATGGGTGGGGGAGACTTACCAGGGAGGGGAGGGAAGAAAGAGGGAGGGAGAAAGGGAGGACGGAAGGAAGGAGGAAGTAAGCAAGATTTCCCAGCTCCCTGCCAGCTTCCCACAAGGTAAGTCAATGGGGAAGCCGCCAGGAAGTCCGAAGTCGCTCCCACTCCCAGTGCTTTTTTGCCCTCGGTCATTCGGTTTCTCTGTTTAGGTAAGGACATATCTCTGAAAGGACGTCACAATGGATCATGGGTTGCCTAGTCAAAACTAAAACTATCCTGAAACGTGTATTCGTCCAAGACAAATTAAACTGTGTATACATACATCGTGTGTGGGAAACTTTTAAAAGCTGTTTTAATTGCCAGTGAATATTTACAGATCCACTACTTAGGTGGAGGCATTTTAAATTCAAAAATGTAATGAGTTTCACCCAATTTGTGAATGTGATGACCACTTCCAGGGCAGGTTTGAACCTAGGCAAATACCCACATTTAAAACTTGTCTTTTTTGAGAGGAACGCCTTGATGTAAAACCTGTTTTCCCCTTTACAATAAACAGAACAAATGTCGGTTTCTAGGCCTCTGTTTCTGCATATTTCAGAGAGAGAAAAACATCTACGCATGCATCTTTTATAACTAACACAATATGCAATTGCTTTGGGATCACAACCAGGTCCAGATTCCTAGGTCAGGTGGAGAAGGCATATGTTCTCTTTGTGGCTGCCTTCCCAAACCTGGTTTCCTCCAGGTGTGTTGAAATTAGAGGTGCGTGAAATGGTAGATCAAAATGTCTCAGCCCTGAATTACACCACTTTGACCTTACCAGGTGGTCTGACCTCAAAAGAAGCTACTCCAATCTATTTTGGAGTCAGAATAGCCCATTCCAGGCTCAGGATGTTTTGACCTTGAAACAGCTTGCAGTCCTTTAGTTGGGACTACATCTCCCAGAATTCCTAAGCAACTTGCCCAACACTGGAAGCTAGAGTCCCAATATTCCTAGGAAATGTTGCTCCAGGGTCTCCATAGCAATTCCCCTTTGTTTTTCCTGTCAAGAATCATGTTGCTTTTCACATGCTTTCTCAAGACTTAAAGTATCCCTAGATACCAACTGTACTGCAAAGGTAATTTGTAAAGGCCAGTTTCTCATGATATTTGGTACTAGCAAGATGTTCTGAATGTGATCCCATGAAGAGTGACAGATGGCCATAAAAACTCTGCACTCACAGCAGTTGCCTAACAAAAATCTCCAGGAATGAAATCATGAACAAGTTTTAGCCAGGCTTATGAAGAATTTACTAGTGGGATCATTCCTGGAAGAAAAGAACATCAACTGTGTTTTTATAGTATCTGTAACCCACACAGCCGTTCAGTTAGATCACATTAGGAAGCTATCTCTGCAAGTACCAACTACTACCTTATACACAACCTGAAGATTCAAAATGTTGCACAGATTACAAAGCTGGGAGCATGTTCATCCAAACAATAGCACTTTTAAAAAATATATCATTTACTGGGGAAAAGCAGGATGGGGGAGAAAAATTCCACCAGATCAAGAGTTCAGAATAGGAGGTGGGAGCTGAAGGCAGGGAAAAGATCCATCAAGAGTTAAGTGAGATTTGAGAAGCAATTTCTTGCAGGGGGTGGGGTGGGGGATGACAGGGAGAGACTTTGACAGGAACGAAAAGAAACACAAACCTTCCAGCTAGGAATCTGAGATGATGGTAACATGCCTGGCCCAATGGTGTAATAATGAACGTAGTCTGGAAGGAGGGTGGAGGAGGAAGCCCGGGTCCATGCGTGAGAGACAGACGGAATGTGAGGGAAAGAACCTGCACCAACTGGGGCTAAAGATGAGCCATTTGGTAAACTACAGTGATAATACCCATTAGACAACTGGAAACGAACAAAAATAAAAATAAAAAAGAAAAGGGGAAAAAAGAAGAGAAATTAATATAAATAGGACAAAATATGGGGAAATACAAAGTGAAACAGGCATGCATTGCTGGGGAGAAAGGAAGGGGAATACCCCCAACGGTCCTGGTCGCTTTGGCCAGTCAACACCCCTACACAGTGCTTGCTCATGCTTTGTTAATGACACTCAAGTATGCAACCATGTTCCAAAAAAAAAAACCCCAAAACAAAAAACAACAGAACAAGAACAAACAAATCATTTTCGGGAGCTGAACTGTTCTACACAGCTATGCCAGAGGCACAAGCCCTCCATGTGTCGGTGCGAGGAGAAACACAGCAGTAAAAGGCTCTGCTCCTTTGTCAGCAAGAACCTCCCCAGGAGCTTCGTTCAACTTAAGGAAGCACAGAGAACCTCCTTAGCCAAGTTCTTCATGGGCCTTACAGTTTAGGATATCCACGTTTCATTTCATTCAGCAGCTCAGCTTCAGAAAATGACACGTTTGCAGACAGACAAAACAAAACAACAGGAGGAATGGAAGAGGAAATTGCTCATATTTTTGATGAGAACAGATCCCCTCAGTCCCCTCCCTCACTCTGGCCTCTAGGATGCTGGGCGGATATCTACCTGCCAAAAAGATCTGGATTTTCCAGGTGAATTTGGTAAAGTGGACAATGGAATTTGGATTGTGAGATGATGGAATTCCTGAAAGTCTACTCTCTCCAGATTTGGTCTCACTCTTTAGAAAAAGTACATTTTCTTATTCTATTTCTCAAAGTGAGTCTGTTGAGAGAAAGCTGTTCTTAACCCAGTCACCACATGCTACAGAAGCCTTTTCAAATGCCTTGGAAAACGGTCCTTCCAATGTCATTTCTGTCTACCAAGCCTTGGTGTTCATTTCAGGACATGGCTGGAACTACTGGGGGCATCTGCAAAACAACTATGTCTGAACTGGGGGCAACATCTTTGGCAAAGCTTAAATGCCAACATCAAGGCAGGTTTCTACCAGGGCTTCCTTCATGAGTCCATTCACTTTAACCCTTCCTGGAAGGTTCCTGTTCTCATCTGTAGCTTCTTGTTGTTTACATTTGCGTAATCTATTTTTTTCTCTGAATGCTACAGAGCCTGGAAAAACCAAAGCATGAGTTCTCAAGATTAAGCCTTTTTCACCTTTTCTGTGGAGGCCCAAGCTGCCATGGTGGAGCCTGAACTGACAGAGGTGGGGGAGCTGCATTCGCTCACTGACTGGCAGGTTTCAGAGGCTTCAGAAGAGGCTGAGCTGGACGAATTCTGCTGGGTTTTAAAAAAAACGAAACAGCACCACAAACAGGAGAAGAAAGAAAAGGAAGAAAGACAAGCCAATGAAACAAATTAAAAACAAAAAAAGCAAAGGACAAATACGTACACAGGAAAGAGGAGGAGAAAAGCAGAGTGTTAGGGGTTAAGGAAAAAAAATCTAAGCATTAAACATGACTGAAAGTTTTTGAAAAGTGCAAAGAGACGAAAGCAATGGGTTCTACAGGGCAGATTCTTCGCAGCATAGCATATCAACCTAATGCCCTCCAAACCTGGTGCCCTCCAAAGGGGCTGGAGGACAAGTTGCATGTCCTGGCTGCAGATCTGGGACTTGCAGTCTTGATACAACTGGAAGGCAACGTGTTGGGGAAGGTGTCATATAATTTCCCCAAATCATAATCAAAACGTGCAAGAATGTGAGCATCTCAACGCTGCTGACAGCAACACTGCCCCCTGCTTGCTGGAGGACTAAGGAGGATGCCAACTTCAAATGATCAGTCTTTTCACCCCTAATGGTGAGACCCCCTGTTCTTTCCTCAACAGCACACCTCCTTTTCTAGACCACAGCATGGTCCCTGTCACCATGGGTGAAAGCAAGGGACAAGCACAAGTCAGATACACCCACAAAACAAGGTGCAAGCAACTCTTCAGCAAAATATGACGTAAGTGTAGGGTTCACAGGCAGCTTCAAATACACTGTTGGCCTCATCTATTCCAAGGGTACAATTCAGGATTGTCTGGCCTTGCAAGTGCTGAGATTGTACAGCAGGAGGACACAGCTCTGTTTGGGCTGAGGGTCGCCTTTAGCTTTGAAGATCCATGCTGGGCAGAACCATCACAAGGAAGCAGGCAGGGTCAAGACTAAAACTACATCAATTTAATTTAAATATCACTGAAACAAAATTAATGAAATGTCGTTAATAAGTTTACATGCCATGTATTTAATAATACGCTCCTTGTTGTATTATATAATTTGGTGACTATTCTTGAAAGAGTCTGAGGGGTGGGGGGGGGGAAGCACCCATGTCGTACAAGATGAAGCCACCAATCTACATTTCCATTTCTGAAATACCTTACTATTTCACCCAGAACACTTAAAATCTGCTCAGGAGTGCACCAAATTACTAGATGTCTTTGAAAAGACGTGCCTAACACTTGATCAAGCAATCTCTAAATAAAATTTTCTCCAAGTTCAGCTCAACTCCTGGTGACCACATGCAACTTCCATATTGTTTTCTGTCACTATATAGAAGGAGGTTGCCAATTGTCTCCTTCTTGGATTTTTTTTTTTTAACTTTTCAATCTAACCTTTAACATTTGGACTGCGGAATGGCCTCTCATTCAAGTACTAACCAAGTCCGAATCTGCTTAGCTTTTCGGAGACGAACCAGTGCCAGCTAGGTGTTGGGAAAGAAGGAAGGAAAGAGAAGGGAATGGGGCAAAGCAAGTACTACTCACATATACAGACCATGGCTTCAACTACGGAAGGACACAGGAAGAAAGCTCGCACCTGGTCCTCATCACCTGTACAACTTCAAGCATTTTCTACAATACACTACTGACAGGAATGCTTATTTCTCTCTGAGCCAACAACCTTTTCTCTTCCTGTCTAAACAACCCTTCAAACTCGCCCAATACTATGGGATAATTTTGAAATGCAACATGAAGAAGCCAAGCCGTCCGCTTCTACTCTTTGGAAGAGCTGCGAGAACTGTTGAATGCATTCTTTTGTCCCTCAGCAACAAAGAACGAGACACTAAAAATAGGTAAAAAGCATCATAAAGGGAGGTGGGTGGGAGTTGGTTTCCACCACAGTGTTTCTGTTAGAGACACCATTTTGCTTTCAAATACAGCATATGGTATTGTACGACTATTTTTTGCCACACAAAGCCCTTAATGCACAAGCTGCGAAGTTAGAGCTTGTCAGTTGGTTACAAACACAAATTGCACGCAATGAACAGCTTTTGGGGAAATCTGTCAACTAGGTTAGGTGGCAGTACTGCCTGTAACTAGCAGGACTTCAAACACAACTGCAGTACTAAAGGAGGGGAAAAATATTTTTGTTTGCATGCTGAAATTACGCTGACAATCTCAATAAGTTTTTTTTTTTTTTTAAGGTGACTTGTATGAACTATGTTTATCAATTAAAGTACAACACACAACTGCTTCCAGAACCAGATAGGCTGTAGACAAAAGCTAAATTTTGTTTAATATAATTTTCCATTTAAGTGAAATTAAATTAGACTCAATAAAAAATTATTAAAATTACTCACTGTATAGGTAATAATTTTCCTATTCTGTCACATCAAAATTGCAATTTGGTAGCCATTTTTAAGGGCCATTTTCAAGACTTCCAGAGATTACATGTAGCCTTGAAGTCAAATGTTGGCCCTGAAGCAGCAGTATCTCCAGGGGGCCAAACGACAAAAGCAGGGTCCTCCTGTGGTGACACAAGCCCCTCGCCTTTTGGTACATGCATCATGATGTCACTCACACGCACGTACAAAAGAAATGGAGCTTGGTGTGGAACAGAGCTTTTTGTCAGTCTCCTCCTGCAGACCCTAATGGTTTCAGTTTGTACATTTCTGAACTGAGTTAAAATATTTCTCAATATCCTCTATCAGAGGAATGAGAAACCTGTGTTTGTCCAGATAATACTGAGCTAGAAATCCATGTACCTTTGTCCATGATGGCTAGCACTGCTGAGAACAATAGTTCACTCCCATGTAAAGAGTCACAGGTCTCCATTCCTGCCTACAGCACTTAAGGTGGCTTCAGACACAGCCAATATACCAACTGAATGGTAATCCTTTAAATCAGGGAACTTGGTTTAAGATAATTTATAAGAATTTGGGAGTGTGAAGGTGTGATAGGAAATCTAAGTTTGAGTGTGTTTCTGCAGTCAAGAATGGCAGAGAACACACTAGGAAATCTTGACTAACAGCAACTCTCAGTCCTGCATGTTCTAGTTGCTTACACACTCCTAACTAAATCTTCAAGGTATTACAAAAATGTTGTATGTTAAAAAGACATAAAAGGACTCTCTATTTTGATTGGATGAGACAGATTTCATATTGGATACAAGCCATCTTCTAGGCTTCTCTTTATCAACTACAAACTAATTTCAGCTGCAACTCCTAGGCTGTTGGCATGACATTTGGAGATGATGGGAACTGCAGTTTGGAGGGTATCAGGTTGTTGAAGACTGTTCTAAGCCAAACGTAGATACTATTCTCTATGGGGAAATGAGAATCAGAATGCAGCAGACAGATAACCAACTAACTTTGGCTAGAGGACATGAAAACCATGTTGTATGACCTCTTGGGGACTGCAAAGCTAGGCTTCCTTTCTCCCACAGCATTACCAGATAAAACATTGCCATCCTACCATGCTCGTTCGAGATGTACCTGGTTGGGGGCTTCAGGTGGCATCGGAGACGGTGACTTGGACTGAAAAGCATCCTGGGACATGAATCCAGAGTCGTGCGAGGACACACTGGAGAGCCTCGCTGGTGCCTGCTGAGGCAGATTGGAGCTGCGGTAGCGATAGTGTGAACTGGGTGAGTGAGAATGCGAGCCACTTGACCGGGAGTCACTACTGTTTACACTGTTCAGACTGCTGTGAGATTCAAAGGAAGAGAATGGGGGCAAGGGGGGGAGGGGAACGAAACAAACAAAAAAAAGGGGGTAGGTGGGGAGAAACCAGCACAATACAATTAACGTCCCATGGATCCCCAGCAAGGCATGCGCAAATCATAAAATGGTGAAACTGGCAGAACTCGTTTTAAGCCATAGGTTGCTGCAGTATCCTTACTAACCAGATAGAAAATGGCAAATCAGGGGGTGATACTCAATTTCCAGTCTGCGCCAGATCTAAAAATAATCCTATGCTGGTTGCCTGGGATGTCTCAGGATTTCTTCCAGGAGAATAGCTAGCAGATGAAAGGGGAATGGCTTTTGTTCTGGCTAATGCAATTCAGCAGCATTTTTCAAACTTGGCACCTTTAAGCTGTGTGGACTTCAACTCCACACAGTTGAGGTCCACACAGCTTAAAGGTGCCAAGGGTGAGAAACACTGCAATACGGCATACCTATTTGGGCCTCCTTCAAAACATTCCATGGGCAGGTGGAACACCCAGGTGGCAGCCATTCCAGAAAACATTACTATTTGGAACGATTAATAGGGTAGTTGTCCTATGCAAGCCCCAATAAAATCAATGTGAACAATGCAAAGGGACTATTACAAACCGGTGCTTCAAGCAGGGCTTCTCTGGGGTTTCTGTAGGTGATCAAATATCTTTGATTCTCATTCCCCTGCTTAGAATCCTCAGTTGGCTTCTGAACCTGCTCCTTCATCTCATCTTCCAGCTTATCACCAGAACAGACAAACCCCATTTATAGTTTTAATTTTAAGCAATAGCACAGGATGACTGATTGACTTGGTGCAATTGCTGTCCGCCCAGTTCGCACTTGCCTCAAGGAAGCCCTCGTGTCCCCCGATGATGCTCTAAAAGGCTTTGTTACCCCCTGGAATTCTCTCAACTGTTGGCCCCACAATCTGACAACATGCCGATTCCTTGACAAGCATTCAGGGATGTTTGAAGGCCTTCAGGGGCCAAACCAAAAACGTTGGAGTACCATCCCTGCTTTAATCTTGTTGACTTCAATACTTAAGAGAATGTAAATGAATGGGAGCTAAATGGGAATTGCCATGGATTTATTTTAAAGTGTAACAGCAGCCTCTTAGGAGGGCCAGTCTGAAAGGAGAAGGAGCACTGTGGCTTATTTGGTCACTGCAACACTACCAATCTTCTGCCCTCTTGCCAACTTTGGCCATAAGATTTCCAGTAGACCTACGGCCTGCCATTTTCCTTTCGCATTTCAGGATACTGCATTTTTAAAAGCCTGCGCTTCCCGCCATCAACATAAATATCTATAGATCTCTTGGATATAGATACTGTACAAATGCATGCACAGAAAGCCAGCTTTGCAAGGAAATGCAAATAAACTCCTTTATCATGCCGCAGACGCTACAGCTCTCCAATCTATGTGATTTAGAAGGCAAACATTTAAAATAAAGTGATAATAATAATAATGTGAGAGCATCAGAGCTAGGAAGTAATGAAAGGACAGAAGACACAGCAGGAAGTTTTCCTTTTGCCGGAGAAAAGGAGAAAATCAAGGTTTCAATATGCCTGGGAAGGAGCAAGGCATAAGGTGTGCATGCTGTCCACTGTTTTAGTTGAGGGAAAAACAGTTTCTTGGAGGAGGCAGAAAAGGCACCTGAGAGTTCCAACACACACAAACAAAACTAAGAAATTAAAACAGTACTGAACAGTTAACAGCTATTGCATCTAACAGCAAAAAACTTTATTCCAACCGTTTGAGAGAAGTCTGATGCATTCAGACAGTTTAATCTGCTCTGCAACTAAACCTCCTGCATGATTTGTTCCCCCCCCCCCCCCCATTAAGTGTTCAAGGTCAGGAGAGCAGGGCAAAGAATAGCAGGCTCTTAATCAGTAATTAAACAGGCAAACCGACTCAATTAAAAGATACGTTTAATTTTCTCAAGCCACTTTTGGTAAAATTCTTTAATCATTTAGAATCCTCAGCCATATGTGTTCTGAATCGATCAAATATTTAGGACAAATCAACAGAATTCTAATGAAGATGTCAGCCAAATTTGGAAACAACTCAGGATTCCAAAATGCGAAGTACAAATTGCCATGTTGGAAGCCCAACTAAATTTAGTGTCCGCAAATGAACAATGGAAAAAATCAGTGTAGCACTGACAAATCTAAGCAGAAATTATGGCTTGATCAGTTCCAAAACGATCACTTGAAACTCGCTGAGCTTTCTGAAGTTCAAATCCAAATACAACACATCAAAAAGAAACCCATGCTTAAGCAACAAGGGCCCCTAAGAAACAGGATTATTTTATTGATTATATTTTATCCTGTCCCCCCCCCCCAAGTTGCTGAAAGAGGCGTATGTGGGGTTTACCCCTAATTAAATGCCCATATAGTTGAGGTTGGCTAAACGTGTGACTGACACACAATGAGTTCCATGATTGAGACCAGATATGATGTTGGCTCTTCCTGATCCAAATGCAAAATCTTAAGCACCATGCCACACATTTTCACTTACCTGCAGACACTGGATTTTCTGGACATGGTGGTACTGGGAGAAGAAGGAGGTGTCTGATAGGACCAGCCGTAATCGGAACCTTTCAGATCGAGAATTACCTGGGGAAAAGCAAAGGTCACCATGAAAGATTAAGGGGAATTAAGTCTAGGGGAATCCCAACCACCGTGTAAGTACAAAATAAGTTAGGAACAGATTTTCAAGGGTGCAGAATAAAGTAAAACACACTAAAAACAGCAAAGACAATACTAAGTACATTACAAAACACTGATCAAGTGGACAGAATAAAAGATGCCATAACTGGCCTGTATATTATCATTGCAATGTTTAACTGTGGGTCCCACTTCCTCAGTATATACAGTGCATTTGGAAAGTATTCAGACCCCCTTCACTTTCTTCAATTTTGTTAT